TGACACTTGGAACACTATAAACTCTTCTTAAGGACAATAAACTCTGGGAAAAAAATCTTAGCATCTGAATAAATCAAACATGTCACTCAGAGAGAGCCCACAGCAAGAACCTATCTTATGAAAATACCAAAAGACTCAAGCTTCTCTTGAAAACTGCCTAAGCCCCAAAGGTTACACTGATCCGTCATCCAACCCACCACTATAGACACAACAATACAGACACTATAGACACAGTAAATGACTGCAAATTATGTGTGCATATATAAATACATATTTATTTAGTATGTATAAATGTGTCCTGGGGTGTGTGTGTGTGTGTGTGTGTGTGTGTGTGTGTGTGTGTAATTCAGAGAACAACTTCCAGGAGTCAGATCTCTCCTTTTACCCTATGGGTTTTGGAGACTGAGCAGGGGTCTTTAGGACTAGCAATAAGCACCTCTACCTGCTAAGCCATCTCACAGGATCCAAAAACCGTATTGTTGATACAGAAGTTATCACAGAATATCAGACATGGGATTTATGACAATGACTGGTCTTTTTTTTTTTCCTTAGACGCTTGGTGACATTATTCTTTGATTCTTTCTTTTCTATTAGTGGTGTTTCACCACTGATAAGCTAATTCTAGCCTCACCAGTTTTGCACTATATAAAGATTATGGACTTAGGGACTATATAAGACAATGGCACACTATTTTTTAATCAAAAGAATTCATCAAGCAGTAAGCTGAAATGGTGGTATCAATGGGACTTCCATATTTCCTACCATTGGAAGGTATATGGTATCATCAAACACTGAGTTAATTCTCAGCAACTAACTACAGAAAAAGCTTCTAATTACCTCTTTACCTCTCTCAAACATCTTCTTACAGGATTTTTGTCAGTAAGTATGATTTTACATGAACAGTCAGTCACCTTACGATTACTCTATAGGTGATAATCAGGAAGTAAGAAAACATATATGTTACCTGCAACTTTGTCTTGTATTTTCATGACTTTACATCAAGAGTATAAAAATATCTTGCTGTATATACTGCAAACTATATCTCCCTGTAATAGCACATGTTGATGAAAGCACATTGGATCTCCACAGCCTTGTAAAGTTCCCTGGCCCTCTTGCCCTTGAATGTTCTAGAGAATAAAGGTGAGTGGCAGCTGAGGATGAGTAGGAAAGAATGACTTTATAACTACAGAAACAGAACACTACCAATCAAGGAACAGAACACAGCCGATGGGCACTTGGAAAGAAACATCCAAAATGCCAAGGTGTGGCTCTCTCAAATGGTACCATTACTTTATATGACTTTCTGGTCTGCCACACCCACTACATGAGCCACTCACAATTTTCTGGCCATTCCTTTCAGGATTATTGAGAAGTCCATCATGTGCAGTAGGACACAGCCCCAGCTCCTGTCCCATTACTAAGCAACACCACTCTTCCCATGGCCATCACTCAGTCATCTCACAGGGCCACAAATGCCGACCCATTTTTGGTACAAACAGAAAAGCTGAATTGACCAGCTGTCTTTAAAAAGGGGGGGATATGATTATTTGAAATGGATGAAAACCCTTAAATTTTATTAGCCACCAAAGAGGCTCCTTTGTAGGCACAATTAGCTTGTGTTTCCTAACTGACGCAGGTCCTACTCATAGTACCCCAAAAATGTAACTAATAATGAATTCCAAAGACATACAGCATACCACTGAGACCATAGTGTAGAAACCAGAAGTTAACTTCCTTGTCTCCTAAAATCATTGTGATTTTACCTTTAGGAATGATCACTAAAAAATCTTCAATTTTTGTGGAAACATCCAAATATATCATGCAACCGCTAGAGAAGTATAAGAAGCTTTCTAAATGAGCAAATAACCTGTTTCTTATTCATAATCATCTGATGCAGTTATTTACTTAGTAAAGGTGTTATAAGTTTGTCTCTGCCTCTAACTAGGTAGTCAACGGCTCCATGCCCAAGAACACTCAAGTTAATATCAACTCATTCTTTGCGCATTAGTATACACTATATAATTATCCTATAATTCATATTATAGAATATGAATTCTATATGAAGGAATTCTATATGGAGGGTGAAAACTGTACAACCATTAATACATCCTATTTTACATTATCTTGATCATTTGACATAGCTTAGATTACAATAATAATTACAGTTGAGGTGCATACATTGTTCATAGAGTCCATATAGACAAAGGGGGAGATACATTAGGTCTCTATATTGGAGTTTTTTTAGGGGGTGTGTTAATTCTTGTTCCTATTCCACTTGAATCTTATGGCAGAAACATCCTTCTGTCAGTGGAAAGCTATCTGGCTGAGTAGAAATGTCAACACAAAGACTAAGAGAATGACATTTACTTCTCTAAAGTACAATCTAATGATTTATGATGTGCTTATGGTTTGCCAAGGTGTGTCTGGAGTTGGCATAGGCTTAAGTGACGTAAACTAGCCTCATCTTGCTGCTTAATATGGACTCAGGCTTCGTTTCAATGATGTACAGAGAAAATGGACAAGGTTTCATCCCAGCCTCTGGCAGTCAAACCAACCAGAATGACGAATGGAATGTACACAAAGGAAAATTCATCAAAAGCCAAGATGATAGAGAAAAGCAGTTTAGATATAACTGAGATGAGACTCAATGTTCTTCTTACATTTCTGCAATTCAATGACAAAATCACTGATTTACTTTTGTTTCATACTATTTTTCAAGAATAAGGAATGAAAGTGAATTTTTTGTTTTATAAATGTATGAACCTATCAACTGATTAAAAAGAAATTAGGAAAGTAGGTTTGCATAGAAAGCACCTTTAAGATTAGAGTATTTTTTCCTTCTCCAGTAAATTTCAGTAATTTCAGGGATGCCCACTTGTCTTGGAAATGGCTTCTCCTTCTGTAGCAGTGGGCAGACATCTTATCTGTCCAATATGATGAAGAACAAAGGACAGACATGCTTCCTGCTCCTGCTGAATGCAATTCATATTCTCAAAGCTTAGGAATGCAAACATGTATTATCATTTCCTCTGCACACGACTGTGAGACCTGAGGACTGGGAACAGGTACAGCTACTGTTGCTCTGCCCAGTACATCTCTGTAAATTCTAAACTGTCTTTGGTTTTCTGCTTTAAAGTATACATAAACTAGAAGGCTCATTTGTTCACTAGCAAATAGGGCAAATCGTTAATTTTTGACAATCACTATACATTTGGTATTTCACAGTAATCATACTCTCCTGAAAATCCCAAATTAATAAAGAAACCAACCTATTCATTTTCTTCTTACATGATTACCTATATTTATGAGCCTAAACTCTTTCTTTAATGAAAGAAAATGGTTACTAAACCATGCCTACAAATACTTTTTTTCTCTTTTTCTGTGTTTGTGGACTCATGCCTGTTTACATGTGTGTGAACCTACATGAGTAGATGTGTGTGCATACCAAGGTCAATAGTTGATATCAGAAATTATCCTGATGGCTCTTCTATCTTATTCAGTGAGGTAGGGTCTCTCTGTCCCTAGACAGAGATCTCACGGACACGGCTCACCTTGCTAGGCAGTTTACTCAGGGGATCCCATCTCCACCTTTTGAGGCTAAACTACAGATAGACCAATATGCTCATTTGGCATCCATATGTGTTAAAAGGATGCAAACACCGGTCCTTAATCCTGCATTGCAACTATTTTAATTATTGGGCCATCATTCCAGACAATGTCATCATTTGTCATTTGTCCCTCTTGCTGCAAATCATTTGAAATGCACTTTCTTCCTCATTTTTCATTCTGTTTATTTTTATGTTCAGTGGGTACACTGGCATTTCTTATCTCAATAGTGAAGAATGTCAGAGAAATGTCATTTCAAACACTATTTAAGGTTTCACTTTCTCTTTGTATATAGCTGCCGCAACAAAGCCAATAACACAATGACATCCAACGTGATACCATGAACATCTACCAAGTTATCAAATTTTTCTATAGAAAGACAATCTTACTGTGAAATAAACACAAAGATATAGAAAATATGAGATCTTTTATTAACCAAACTTTGTTTTAGAGATTATAAAATGATACATGAGCTTAGTGAACACTTGAGAATTACTAAAATGTTTTACTTCATAGATGCAGATTAGATTCCAATTTCCCAAAGCAGCTACTGTTAATTGCTTATTATATAAATAATGGCATACATATTTATCATATAGAAATCAAAACATTAACTTATTTTGACTTTTGTTCGAACCTACTGACCTTTCAGCATACAAAGATATTCAATACTTTTCATTTTTATTTTTGAGATCATAGTATAATCATTTAATTTCCCCTTCTCCTTTACTTCCTCCAAACCCACCCATGTACTCTCTAGTTCAGATTCATGGTCTCTTTCTCTTTGTTGTTACAGATACATATTTGTATTCATAAATATAGCCTTTGGAGTCTGTATATGTTACTTGTATGTGTACATTTTCAGCACTGACCACATGGTACTTAACCAATCGATGAGCTCTTCCAGGGGAAACTGTTTCTCCTCTTCTCAGCTTTTCTTAGTTGCCTGTAGTTCTTTATCAATTTTTAAAAAATATTTCAATGTTTTTATTATATTTTTTACTATTTAAAACAATGTTTAAATGTATATATTTTGATCATATTCTTCTCCTCCCTCAAGTCCTTCCAGATACCTTTCCCAACTTTAAGTTCTTTTTCAAAAAACAAACAAAAAGATTTTTTTAATAGCTGCAGAGTCACTCAGTATTGCATTATTTTAATATAGAAAAGTTTCTTGCCTAACTCTCATGGAGGCTGTACAGGTTCTTTCTACTTTATTAACTCATAAATACTGTATTCAGCTATTAATCAAATAAAATAAACTTCCTAAGAGTACTTGCATTGAGTAAATACTAGTGAGGCACATATGTTCTGGATGGCAGAGCTTGCATGGATGGGGTATGGTCCCTGATGTATAAATGCTCAGTAATTCCAGGTTAAAAGTCAGCTCTCACCTTTGTGGCCAAAGACTTAAGTTTTCCTAGTATTGACTGTTTGTTGGAATATACAACATCCTCTTCATTATCTTCGCCTTCCATGATAGCACAGCTGTCTGCAGCTGGGAGTTCACATTCTTTTGAGTTAGTTGTCATTACTAATTTAGAATATTTGTATTCCAGCCTAAGCAGGGGTAAATAAATAGAGTAAATAAGGATATAGCCATGTATAAAAATAATAAATTCATATTTATTATAAATGTTCTTACACCAGCTTCTAGTCCTGATAATCCTGTATAGTTTCTCCAATATCAAATTTGCCTCATCTATGGCTATAGCTTTAAACGTTCTTACTTATTACCTATCTGCATAAAAATATTCCACAGGATGTCAGAGAATCAGTTCAATACTGTTAGTTTTACCATTTACTTTACATTGACCTTACTGTATAATTATATAGAACATTTATAAATCAATGAAAAGCCTTGAGGTCAGAATGCCTTTCCTTAATGTATGAATGGGATACCAATTCACTATCACATTTTCTAAGGTTTAGATCGTGAAGATGAGAACGCTGAGCAGAGGATTTGCTTGTTATTGTATCTCTACTTCAGTTGTGCCTTTTCTCTTTAGCAATGACTTCAGATATTATCATTATTCCTAGAAATTAGAACATAGATCTACCATATCCAGAAAGCTCTAAATCCTCTCCAAGGATTCAAGCCATGTAACAGATGCACGCAACGGCTGGACTCAACATTTGGCACCAGAGTCTTTAAGACTTGGAATAAATAAATATGACGTCTGCCCATTTGCTTATCTGTTTGTTTAAAAACATCTTTGTAAATGAAACTGATACAACAAGAAGTCAGATAATGTCAGAGAAAGACATTATGTTACCACCTTCTAGTCTCAGCCCTGTTCCTATCTGGGAAACTTAGAGACTTTATTATTTTTAGAACAAATGACTAATCCAGTGGTCAGTGATGTTCTGTTCATTTTCAACTATCAAAATAAGAATCATTTATTCTCCCTATTTTCTCAAATGCCTTGCCTATATGTTTCTTACCAGAAATGCCTCGTGGCACCGAGGGAATGGACAACATATAGTAATTAGGTCTAAAATTCTCATAGTATAGACAAGCTTTCCAGTTCTTAAAAGATCATCTAGCGAGGGTACTTACTTTTGATTCTTTTTCCAAAAGTAGCACGTTAAAGCCACCAACAAAACAGCTGTGAATGCCCCCACACCAGCTCCTACTTTTAGCCAAAAGTCAACTGTTTCACAGGTTGACAACTTCTTCTCGGGCAAAGTAATTCCTTTGATGCACCACTTAGGCTCATTCCATACATATAATATTTCCTTTTAAAGCAAAGAGATGAGGCCATAGATGAGACGAGCAATGAGACTAGGATTGAACTGGAGAAGCTAGAATTAGTACTGAGTCCATTTATCACACAGAAGAAAGACTTTGCTAACCATATTCTCATCATAACCATAAAGGGTATTTTTCATTCAGCTAATACTGTAGAATATCTACCAAGAGAGGAGATATAGAAAATGAGTAAATTAATCAAAATGCAAAATTTAAATAGAGACTGTCACATCAGAACAGTCTTCCACATGCTGAAGAAATAGAATAAAAATTGTTCCACTTTGACAATTTTGGGGGTTGTTTTCCTCAAAATTTGATGACTCCGGATTTCTTAATCTTGTTCTTAAACACACTCTCAAGCTACTTAGTACAACTACTTGGAATGGTTTGCACACATCCATCAGGTAGGCCAGTCAACCCAATAAACCTGTCCCTGAATGGAGTTGCCTACACACCAGGGCCCTGGGGTATGTAAGTGTACCACAGCTCACCAACTCAAATGCTTCATGTAAAATTAGGTACCCAAGATGCACAGTGCTTTTATTTGCCAAACTAAGGAGTACATTAGCTCAGGTCATCAGTACCTATACCAACCATTTGCAACTTCCCAAAGTAGATGACTCAATTCCTAAAGCAATGTGCCCTAAATAGCAAGTGGCAACCATTGAACAATAAAGCCAATATAGTGGGTCTTACCATGCATTTTTAAAACTAAAGTGCTAAAATGAGGTAGACCACATATGAAAATCAGAGTTCAGTGTATTCTTCCTTTTATAGCTTAGCATACATTGTGACCAGTAGTTATCTACAATTATCATGGAGTCCGATGAACCAGGGTACTTCATTTTATTTCTGATTAATCACTTCAATCATCTGTTGTATGTGGTCACTTTATCTGGACTCTAACAAAAAGATAGCTATGTTTTACTTCATATGACCAATATGCAGGAGAGTGGTTCACTATGGGGAAAAGTTTCATTCAGGTTTCAAATGATATCTCCATGTGTGTGTTTTCTTAGAAAAGGGTTTTTAGTGATCTATGATAACTATCATCATTCTTATTGAAATGAACACCAATAAATTACTTTTGAAGTGGGTGACATTTTTATAAGGATGAGGAGGTGGAAATGCAGGGGCACATTTGGGTTCACCACTCTCTCTCTAAGTGTAAACTAGGGTGAGTGTGGACCTCATTTGAAGCACATTCTATGAACACCACTAAAAAGTTTTGTGTGAAAGCCTAGAAAGTTTTATCAAATGTATATGACTACAAGACCCATTAAAAGCTCCATTGTCTAGTAGCTATATACTAAGCATCTTAAAACCTCAAAATTACAGAGATACATGTAAACCCAAAATGCCAAACTATCCACTCAGTTCCTCAGATACTGTAGGAGAAAGAAATGTAACTGAGCAAAGTTCGAAGTCACTCTAAAAGAATTCATTAGAAAGCCTGATCTGATCATCTGGTATCACCTGGAGCAGACAGCCGACAGAGCGCTGAACAGTCCCTTCTTCCAGCATGGAGGGGGATTTTGTAACAGGATTAAGATAAATTTAGTGATAAACTCAAAAGCATTTCTCTTACTGATAACACAGTATCACTTCAAATCTTTATTACTGCCTAATATTAGATATGATGCTTACCACATACTTCGAACCTGGTGTAAACTTTTTGAGATCTCAATTTGATAAGAGTACTTCTCTCACAAGCTATGAAGGCTTTTCTGCTTCTATCAGCTATGTATGAAGGAGTTACATTCTGTAAACTATACAGATCTATATTTGAAATACTTACAGAATAGTGGAAGTGCATGCCCAGCCAACACAAAGGGGAAAACAGAACAGAATGGGAAAGGAAGTAGGACTAAAGCAGTCCTTGAACTTAAATACTTAGAATTTTTAAAGATACACATTGAAGTACTTTAGCAATCATTATTTTTCTTCAACTGTGAAGCTTTACAATCCAAAGAAATCTTCATTTATTCACAGACATGAATAAAAGCACTTGACATCTGTTCAGGGTGCCTCCATAGGTTAGTTCTTACCTGAAGCCCTCTCTTGCAGGCTCCCTCAATCTCATGGAAGTCATGCTCTGTGCACAGAGGGCAAGCTTCTGCACTCTCCCATAGAAAATAGAATGTACAACCATCGCAGGTACCAGCTGGACACTTGCTAAAAAATTAAATAAACAGCAACCTTTTTAATGCATTAAATCCACTCCAATCAATACTGCAGCTCTCAAAGCGTACTTGGAGTCTTGGTAACACTTGTAAGAAGCAGAAAAAGTTCTAAAGGAGACCACACTGAGACCACAGTGATACACCCCATGCTTGCTACAAACCTGGTGGCTACAGTAAAAGACAAATAATGCCAAGTGTAGGGAAGATGTGATACAAAAAAGAACCCTCATACATTACAGATGAGAATGTGAATAGCCCCTCTATTTTCAGAGTCTTGCAACTCTTCAAACAACCACACATGAATGTACTATCAATCAGGCTATAAGCAGGCATGTCTGCTCATAGGTATAAACGCAATAGAAGCAATGTGCATTTCACACAAAGGTTGGTAATGAATGTCCACAGCAACATTATTCAAAATGACCACTATGGGAAGAGCCTAAATGTGCTTAACTATTTATTTAACTAAATAAATAGTTAAGTGGAACTGTCTGAGGGAATTCTAAATGACTATTTAAAGGACTGCAGTAATGATATATGCCTCAATTTAGATGAACACTACAAATACTGTGCTAAGTGGGAGAATTAGGCAGAAATAATGCACATTATAAGATGCTACCCATATGAAAGTCTAGAATAGGGACATAGACCAGATGATTTGCTGCTTCGGGTTTGGAAGAGGGTTAGTGTACAGGAAGACGAGAATCAAAGGGTTCAGAGACTCCTGGGGAAATGATGAGATGACCTAAACTTGGTTGTGGTCATGACTATATACTTCTGCTAAGAATCTAAAGAGTCATTGACTTATATACTGGTTGAATAGTTTATATGGATTGCATGGAATTGTGATTTTCTACAGCCACTTCTTTATACATTGTGTGTGTGTGTGTGTGTGTGTGTGTGTGTGTGTGTGTGTGTGTTGTCCATGAACCTGCCATTCTGCTACACTGCTCATGTGGAGATCAGAAAAACAACTTATAAGAGTCAGTTATCTCCTACCATATTAGTTTCAAGAATCAAACTCAAATCACCAGGCTTAGCCACAGGCATGACACCTTTGTCCTCTGATCCATCTCACTGACCCCAAGCTTTTTTCTTTGAAACATTAAAAGTCAGGCCCAGATAGCTACCAAAAGGAAAGAAAAGATTCTGGGAATGTTTCTCTGAACGCATAGCATCTAAGCTGAGTTTACGAACACGTAGGAAGAGTAAGACAGAAGGAAACAAAAGAACTTCCTACCAAGGAGATAGAATTGTATGATGAACTGATAAAAACAAATTACATGTCAGTCACTCTTGCTGGACCATCCAAGGCAAAACAATGAGGACAGTGAGAAACTAAAACACAAAGCTTCAGATGCCAAGTAGATTATAGCTTCTATCAAAGAATTACCTCAGGGAGGTAATTGTGGAAGAGAACCAGGGTCTCTTACAGAAGAAGAAAAAAACAACCATGGACATTTCTGAAGTCAACCCTCAGATCAACACAATATCCTATTCTCCAGTCCAATGCTAGGTCCCCCTGGACTGACAATGACTTAAAGGGCTGAAGATGAAGGTGGGGGACAGAGTAGACCTAGGGTAGATTACAGAGCAATCATGGGCAAACTCTAAGTGGATACTTTATGCACATCTGCTTTCTGATGTGGGAGCCAATTTCATCAAGTTGCTTCTTTGATTAATGAACAGATAAATCCTGTGTGACTCTACATTAATCTGTTGTTGTTGTATATTCTCTGAATGAACCAGAATCTACCTGAAAAGGTTCTGGTGTAAGAAATAATTTTATGAATATGTAAAATCCTTGGAGTATTCTCTTAATTTGCCTACCTAACGTCCAGTATTTCTAAACTAATCCATATGATTAGAGGTTTTTCCAATCATGGCTAATGCTAAGCATGGGTCTCCTGAAAACTCATAAAAGTTAAGAGAAAGAAATAAAACAAACAAATAAACAAAAAAGATGTCCCCTTTTAAAATCCTCAACATAAAACTTTCTTGGTATATTAACTCTACGTATTGACATAAAGACATTTCAATACAAGAAAACCATGCACTTTGATCATACACCCTCACCTTCCATTTTCACACACTCTCAAATATTCTCTTTCATCCCCCTGATGGCCTTACATCTCCTTTGTTCTTATCAATTTTTATAATATTTATCTATATGGAATCTAGAGTCCAGAAGAGGAAATCTCAAATATTTGTGTTTGAATTTGACTTATTTTGTTTTGAATAGTGATCTTCAATTGTACCCATTTTCCTGCAAACAACTTAATTCTATTTTTCTTTATGGCTGAATCAAACCCCATTGAGTACATGCATCATGATATCTTCATCTTGGATACTGTATATAATACAATAAACATATCTATGTCTGTTAAGTGACATTCATTAGGGTGTATACTGTAAAGTGGTATAGTTGAGTCACATGAGTTCTATATTGAGTTTTTATTGAAGACCCTCCATGTTGGCTTCCATAGTCATTGGGAAAATTTATACTCACAGAGAAGTGAATGATTCGCTTCTCCATACATCTTTGCCAGCATTCACAATTTACTTAACAATAACTATTCTAACAGGGGTGAAATACAACTTCAATGTACTCTTTTTTATTGTACATTTTATTTATTTACATTTCAGATGTCATCCCCTTTCCACCCCACAGAAGCCCCTTATCCCATCCCCCCTCCTTTCTTTTGCTTTTATACCATTTTAACTACATGCAAGTATTAAGGTCAGTTCTAGGTTGAGGAACTAGCAATACAATAGATGCAAATAGTCAAGGAACAAGCAAGACAATAAACACAAATAGTCAAAGAACAAGCAAGGCAATAAGCAAAGTTCCATGATCACTCCTATGATCACTGTTTCTAGGGGCTTATCAGGATGACCAAAATATCTGAGCCTACTTCTCTGTCTTAGCCCAAAGTCATTTTCATGTCTTAAGTCTACTTCTTTGTTCTAGCCTAAGATTTAGATTCCTGTATGAAATTATTTCTTTGTTCTAGTCTAATGTCAGATTCCTGCCTGAAGCCCACTTCCTTGTTCTTGGCCAATGTCAGATTCTTGCCAAGCAGCCCCCAAAACACAAAAACTTCAAGAAAAAAAAAACCTAGATATTAATGTCATTTATAAGGCTGTCACTGTGTCAAAATACTACAGTGATTAGATACTTCTCCTTGGTAGACTTCACTTTTCTAAGGATATACTTACTTAGGTTAAATGTAGTTTAGAATCAAGTCCTTAATCCTTTTAACCCAATCCTTTTACTATCGGTGGCACCCAATTTTGATTCTTTGAAATAAACTGCATTTCAGAATTTGAATCAAGCCATCCCTCTGAAGTGTGCCAGGATACAGAGGCTGTCATCTGACTTGTGATTCCTGTCAGTCTTGGCATCTCCTGAAACAGTCTCTCTCTGTTCCAGATCCTGGGCACTGGAATAAGGCAGGCCCTCTAGTGTTAGATCCATAAAACATGGTAGTTTGCCTCATTTTAAAAGGCTAAGTATGATTGTGCATGACTGTGTCTTACACTGTTTGGTCTGTAACAGCAAAACACATTAACTCAAAAATAACAGAATCATGTTTTCTAAATTCACAGAGGCTAGGGAGGCTAAGTTCACAGTGCATCTGAGTGAGGGCTTGCCCTCTGATTCACAGACGATGCTATCTTACAGTGTATTCTCATATGGCATAGGGCTAGCTAGCTTTTTAGGTACCTCACATGGCAGTGTGCTAATTTACTCTTCAGGCACTTCACTTGACATAGGGCTAGCTAGCTTTTTAGGCACCTCACATGACACAGGGCTAGCTAGCTCTTGAGGGCACCTATAAGAACACCCATTTCATTCATGTTGTCAGAGCCACTGTAAGCCACTTCTCAAAGCTACTACTTTCTAATATTCCCAGGCTAGTATTTAGCACTGTAATGTTATTTCAGCATATGAATTTGGGGAATATAAACTCTCAAACCTAGCCAACTGAATTTTAACATAAGGATATTTTTACCTGTGAGTCTTAGAACAAGGGATACAAAACCACACCATTACATATTCCTTTTCTAAAGAATTCTTCTAAGACTAATTACTACAAGTTGGTACCTGTTCAAGACCATATTAGTAAACTCGCTTTCCATTATCCTTTATCTATAGATTGTTTTCCTTGGTGAAAAAAAATCTTTTATTACATCTATTTAAACATTGTTCTAAAAGTGTATGAGGGTTTTGTGATGTGATTGTAACCATCTCTTAAAATGACTTACTCATGTTCGAATTGCACAATTTTATCATGCCTGCATTAAAGCTTTCCCTTTATTGATTACAGAGGGTTTTTTGAGTATTTTCAAATGTTCATAAAGCTTTTATACGCATCAGTACATTTCTGTTCTAGGGACATATTTGATCTTAATCTTTTGTGTTATCTTGCTTTTCAAATTTGGGTATCTATTATCTTTCTGTAAAGAATCAAAGGGAAGAGATAAGAAACTCGTTTAGTGTATCTCTGACTCTTAATTTCAAATGGATAGACTTTTTGACATTAATAGGCCTTCTTTCATGTCTCAACTAAATGCTGCATTAGAGTTCAATAAACCTAATGACTTTGATATAAAGACTAAATTTGAGCCTGTAATATAAATCCCTGGAGTACTCAACTCTTGGACACTATCAGGACAGAACTGCAAAGCATCCCGTTGGTGAGATGCAACATCCTCAGACTCTGTGATGATCATGAAATGAATTTGGATTCTGCAAGAGGATTTCACAAAACAATTTTAGACCGACTGAAAAACAAGTTAAGCAGTTGGATAGGTTCATAAACTGATAAGAAGTTAAGAGAGAGATGAAGATGATGTTCTTACATGAACATTAATGATGAATGCTTCAGTTAAAATAAGACACAAGCAACTTGTAGATCTGCTGAGCTGTGCTCTAGGATAAATCTACTTTGCCTCTTTATTAAGTGTGTTTCTTGACAACTCTCTACTCAGGAGACGTTGAAAAACAGTGACTTGAAATACTCGAAAGGCATTTTTGTCATGAAAGAGCAAGAGTCATTAGGAGGTTGTTCCACCTGAGGTGTGGTACTCAGCAGCTATACAACCTCAGGCTCAGTGCTTCCTACTTGGTGAAGCAAATATGTTTACCTCAAGGACCTTCCAGATCACATACGTTCAGTGCCCGTTTTCTAGGAAGGTACTTGTGTAATCTTTCCAGTAATTCAAATGCCTCGGGCCTTTTAATGGGCAGTTCTCAGATGCAATGCTCAGATATGCATTGTCCCACACAAACAGTCTCTTCAGCTTCAAGTCCATCCATCTGTGAAGTTGACCCGAGGTTTAAGGAGCCAGGGGGGTGGGCTCATCTATGCAGATTTATTTAGAAGTATGAGCAGTCCCTTGCAGAAGAAACTTAGTCTGTACCCAAGCAGCAAACTTCATTAGATAAAAAGCCTCAGAAACAACTGGGGGTGTCAGATTCTATTTGCCAGAGATGCCACATTATAAAGTTCTCGCCTACAGTACTCCATCCCCTCCAGACACTTTGCGGAATTAGGTACCACATACTTGCATTTGCCAGATCAAGCAGAAAGGTTGAAGTTTCTAATCATAGATGAAACCAAAGTCCAGATAACATGAGTCCTCTCAAGTCCACACTCAGCAGGACATACACACACCCCTCTTCTCCCTGTTCAGATTCTTTACTTTTCAAGAGCTAGAGGGTCTTTTGAAAGTTTTCTTGACCACCAAGGTTCAAAGACCCTGCTGACTATTACCAATACTGAAGTCATTTTCACCTGGTTGATCAAGAATAATTCCTGATGTGGCACTATTGTAAGGTCTCACTCTGACTTCTTGGTCAATACCATCTGAAGGCCAACTATCTAGTTAGCATCTTTTCCTTGGATATTTTAAAGCTTTCAAAAGGATGCAGCAATAAGCCTCCCTCAAAAGTAGAATGAGAAACCTGTCTATTATTTCCTTGTTAGTTGGAAATCTTTATTCAGCCCTGCAGCAAAAAGACAAACAAACAAACCTAATTATTTGAGAATGAGATGCTGTTTTTCTTGTTCTGATCCTTGGGCTCCCCCTTGTGCCTTGTTGGGAAATTCACTCAAGAAAAAACTGAAGGTCTTAGCATTGTCTGTGGGAGTCAGTACAGCTCCCTAGAGCAGTTGTCTGCATGCATATCACAGCCACAAATGAATTTTTATCAATATCTGTGTGTGAAACTCTGCCATAAATACTACATTTTTAAATCAGCTTTTCAAAAGACCAAGATGCAAACAATAATACTAAAGAACAGATAATCTGTCTCAGGAAAATAGAGCATGCAAAATCTGTGGTGGGTTAGGTCAACAGAAACGACCCTCCGATTCTCATAAGCTTTGTAGCTGCCTTCTATTTTTAGAAATACTCCAGTGTTCAAAACCCAGAGACTTGGAAATCAATTTTAACAATAGATATTCTAGGGTTTCTGCTGCAGGCAATCCAGAGAAACCCCGGTGAACACAGTAAAGTTCCCTTAGAGGCAAAGCTTGCAAGAAGTCAAAAAGAGAAACTTCACATTCTTCTGCTCATGAGATGTCATCCCTTAACCCCATGAGGCTATGTTTTATTTATGGTAAGAAATCAAAATGTACCCTTGCAGAGTCAAAAGATGATTTATTTTCTACAGGCCATAGCTAGTCTTTAGGATACCATCTGCTTGAGTCAGAGACCTGGCGGGGAATCTTTAAAGCCACCCAGATGGACTCTGCAGACCAGACCCAGAGAGGTTAATTACAAAATCTGGAAACCTCATGAGAGCTATTGTAAATGTAATGAGCACCACAACTCAAACTACCCCCGCAGAACCCCAGAGTGATGAGATGTGCATCTGTTTCTGGAATCTTCGTATGTGTCATTACGGGGTGGGGTGGGGGGCAGAGAGATACACTGTAGTCCAGGAGCATCCTTCTCTCCCCGTTTCTCTATCCGTGTCTATTCCTCTGTTATCTCATCATATTCTTCTCTCATCTTGAATAGGTGAAAAAATAACGAATCATTATGCAAACCTGAGAAACAGCTGGTAAGAAGCGAATGCTAATGTGCCTATATATCCCCAAACAATCCAAAGTAACCACGTTACTGATGTTATTGTTGCTAGAATACACAGTAGTTTCAGATATAGAGCAACATTTTCTAATCCACCTGTGTAATAAACAGGAGAGCTTTAAAATGTTCTCAAATGAGGTTACTAAAAAAATTAAATCATTTTCTTATTAAAATGACTTAGATAGGACCACACTATCATCAAGAGATCCCTTAACTAAACTTCCTGAACAATACACTGAAAATACTGAGATAGTTAAGTGTTCTTCTTGGGGATGGTAGGCTGTATTTAAATGAATAGTTTTCAGAGCCTACGAGTTATGTTCTAATGTTCCCAACAAAAATTAGCAGGATATACCAAATATAGACCACAAAGAGCTAGTACCTCAGTTTCAACCAATTGAATATCCTGCATTAGGTTCTACAGGTCAGATTTACCCTGATGATTCTGCTACAATTTCTCAGAAACCTGAGCTTGAAAATGGATCTAAACACTGTCTTCAAAACCTCATTCCCTTGCAGAGAAAGGAATCAGGCCTTGGGTTAGATTAGTTAGTCCAAAGCCAGTTAGTTAGTCCAGATAGTTAATTGTTGATCGAGCTCTAGGAAACAGGGATGTTCTCATCCAATCAAAGGAGACTAATAAACAGTGAGAATAAACACAAAAATACAAACGGTGCAATTCATTGTTTATTGCCTAAGTCATTTTGAAGATACTCAGATGCTGAAGGCAAAAGGCACAAGGGGATGTCATTAAAGAGGCAGGAAGGCAGTACGATTAACTAGGACCTATTCATTTAAACCCTGCCCTGACATATCCCTACAACACACCCCCTGGTTCTTCTGTTCTCGGTCTGCTTTGTTTCCATAAAGAATATGTTTCAACAGTAATAGTCCAGGCAGCTTTGCTTCCAAAAAGAAATTCGACATGGAATAACCTCATAGTAAAAGTGAATACCTGGGGACCGATATCACACCCGCACCAGGTCTCATGGGATTACACCGCATTTTCACAGCAGTCGATCGGCCATTAATACAAGATGTGGTGGCTGTGGAGGACCTGTTGGAAAGAAGGCACTAGATTAAAGACTAGATACAACACTGATGACCATGACAAAAGGCTCACGTACAGAATGGCTGCCCTGCTCTGTGAACAAACAAAAGAGAGAAATTATTAAAGGTTTCTAACTTCTAGCTTAACACAAATTCAGTGTATTGACTTTCATCACCTATGGAAGATGGCCCATCATTAAGGCATTTAGTAAAATTATTATGATTTTAATCACAATTAAATTTTTTGGAAAGAAACAAGAGTCAGTCATATCAAAACATCAGGCTGAATACAAAGTGAGTAAGTGAATAAGAAGTAATTACTGATTAGGCAATGAACCAAAATCTCCTGATTGCTTGAGAGGGAGAGATCGAAAGCAAGCAAATGGTGTGTGTGTGTGTGTGTGTGTGTGTATGTGTGTGTGTGTGTGTGTGCATTATATACTATACACGCTTGATGTGTATATGTATGTGTGCATGGTGTGTGGGTGCATGGTGTATGTGTGCATAGAATATGTATATGTGCAAGGTGTGCATGTGAACATGTATGTGTGTGTGTATAATGTGTGTGAATTTATATTAGACTTTCAAAATATTCTGTGTCTCACTTTTTAACAAGCCATTCAATGCCTACATTCTTCTTGTCCATTGAGTACAAACTGCCATGCTAGGCACCCTGAAGCATTGTTTTCTTTCTCTCTTGCCACTAGGAAATTATAACCAAGAGTAAGAACTAAAATCTCCAGATTCAGATGTATGAGCTCATTATTTAAAAAAATAGTCCAAAGAAAAAATACCTTCACTTACTTATAAAAGAAGTGCACATCTGGCACTTGGCTCGGCGACATTGGGAACATATCCTCCTTGATATTAACGTTTTGCAAGGCAGTTTCAACTGTGACTCCTAGATGACATTGAAAAACAAACTCTGAAGCAGCAGGGGAAATTAGGTTTATTTAGTCTCTGTACATCTGAGTACAAAATAGCTTTACTTTGACAACTATCTCCTCATCCATCCCCTCACCAGAAATACTAAATTGAGGCGTTCCTGATAAGAATAAGAAACTTTCCAGCATCTCCAGAAAAAAAGATTCTAACCTCCAGCCATGAAATCTAGCTCATTTCACTACCCTGGATGTTTTGTTCTTTTGTTTTGTTTTTCTAGAATCTGTAGGATACATACAGTGGTTTAGATAGTTTCTACAGTTTATTTCTTATGTTTCAAAAATCTATTCCAGTATTGTGCTCTTCCACTGAGTTTTGTCAGTAGAGACAGGTTACATGTGCTCACCTTCAGTTACAGACATGTTTATTTCACCAAGCCTGGTGCTTTTATGCCTGTAGTTCAGCTAGCTTTATTTAATTACTGATTTGCTTAATCAGAAAGACAGGATTTCCCTTCTCAAAGATAAAACAGTGGCAGATTCAAACCAGTGGCAATTAGCTAGGGGCTGGTAGCTGACCTTGGTGCTGAAGTTTGAAGCACACTACATTCAGAAATCCATAGCAACGCTCTCAGATCAGGTCTCACACCCCCAAATTCTCAGTGCTCCTAAGAACCACTAAGGAATTGGATTACTCTCAAAACTTTCCTATACTATAGGACCTCAGACAAAGGGAACAAAACTCAAGGTACTAGTATCCTCAATTAAACATAGTATTATGACTTACATGCTTTTTAGATTTTCATAAAGAATTTTTATTTTTATTTGTACAGATACACGCAGCTATGTGTATACATATGGAGGCTGGACTTGACTTGAGGTATCTTCTATATCTATCTTATTTTTGAAACAGAGTCTCTCACTGGATCTAGAGATCAACTATTTCTGTTAAGCTAGCTGGCCATCAAGCCCCAGGGACTTACCTTTCTCTAATAGCACTAGGATTTCAGACTGACCCACATACCCAGATTCTGCATAGGCACTAGGGATCCAAACTCAGATCCTCGCCCTTGGGCAACAAACACTTGAGCCATCTCCCCAGGCCTATTTTTATATCTAAAATTATTCAACTAAGGAATCTTAATGATGGTGCATCCTCTCATACAATATTATATCGCATAGATTTCCATACAGGTATGCAGAACCTTCTTGTATTCTGAGATTGACCAATAGATCTCATTTCCATGTGATTTTTATCAACTTTACAAAATGACAATTTATTAGAATGCAGGCTTTAATCATGTGTTGTAAACAGCAGTATTATGACAAGTTATTGTTATGATAAAGTAAGAATGAACACATACACGCATATGTTAACCCAAGGGAACTTACCTAAAAATGTATCTGCCAGAATGATAGACTGAGATGACAAGGCTGCCCGGAAGCCCTTACTTTCAGAAGGGATAATAGTTGACTGACATACAAATGCTCCAACCAAATTCGTGTAATCATCTGACCCTGTCGCCATTTCCTTTACCGTAAAGTCTGAAATATTGTTGGTACAGAGAGCCATCTTTCTCCCCTAGGAAAGCAAAGCCACAAGCACAACGTTCACTAATAATCCGTCCTTAACCTGAATCTCAATTAATTTATCAGACTGGGTGCTAATTCCTCACCACAGAGATGCTCATTTAAATGTTCTGGGATGGTGCCCAGGTATCAGTCTCAATGCACTTCCAGTGTTCAACAGAGTGTGGGCGTTGATGAAGATACACTAAGCCAAAAATGCTGGTCCTCCCAGTACATGCATCATTTGTTTTGGATGAAAGCCATATAACTCCAGGAAATAAATATCATCTAAGAAATGTTCACTTCATAGGCATTCAGGGAAGGCAGCAGACTGCTGATGAAGATTTAGATGCCAAGAAAGAAACTCTTCCTTACTCTCTTCTTCATAAGTCTTAGTACGGTTGGAGAAGGCCTAAAAGCTATATGGCTACAGCATCCTAGGATATCCAGACTCTAGGCTCTTGATCACTGCATATATCTTAGTAACCTACTCTTGGACACAGCAGTTTATCAGTTTATAAAATAATTTGAAAGAATAAAAGTGAACAAGAGCTTAACTTTTCAGCCAGAGGCTGGTTGTACTTGTATAATGTTTAAATACACTGCAAAGAAGTATAGCTTGCTCTATAATTTTTACAAAGAAATGTAAAAAGAAGATTGGAAAGCTATTTGATTGACCTGAGAGTATATACACACAGACATGAAGCATAAATAGGTCAGCAATTCTACTATATAAATTTTCTCCTACCATAAGGCCTTCCCATACAAAACAGTGGAAATAGATCTTTACTAAATTGTTGCAGCCAAGAAAATAATAGAAAATGGCTAAAAGTCCTTGAGAGGAAGAAGAGGAGGAGGAGGAGGAAGAGGAGGAGGAGGAGGAGGAGGAGGAGGAGGAGGAGGAGGAGGAGGAGGAAAATATTCACATGAGTTTGAGGCTAGCCTGGACTACATATTGAGTTGTGGGTTTTCCTGGGCTACTCACACAAAAGAAAATAACACACACACACACACACACACACACACACACCACGTATATACACACACTTAAGCACACACATATATACACACATGCACGCACACATGACTGCCCTCCAAAAGACCCAGCAAGCAGATGAAAGAGTCAGATGCAGATATTTGCACCCAACCAATAGACAGGAGCTGCTGACCCCTGTGGTTGAATTACAGGAAAGCTGGACAAAGCTGAGGAGGACGGTGACCCTGTTGGAGGACCAGCAGTCTCAACTAACCTGAACCCCCAAGATCTCTCAGATACTGGGCCACCAACCAGGCAGCATACACCAGCTGATATGTGGCCCCTGACACATAGACAGCAGAGGACTGCTGGGTTTGGACTCAGTCAGAGAAGATGCACCTAATCCTCAAGAGGCTAGAGACCCCAGGGAGTGAGGAGGTCTGGCAGGGTGGAATGTAGGGGATGGAGACATCCTCGTGGAGATTGGGGGAGGAGGTATGGGGTGTGGAACAGTCGGAGGGTAGACCAGGAGGGAGATAAAATCTGGACTGTAAAAAAAGATTAAATTTAAAAAATGAAGAAAAAAAACAAGTTTGTCATAGCATCTCATAATGATGATGATTAGATATACAGGGATCAATATGACAAGGACATGGGAAAACCTTCCCATTACATATTAAATTTTTGACTTTGTTAGTGGTATATATATAATGGATCTCACTCTCCCCCCTCTCTCTCTCTCTCTCTCGCTCTCGCTCTTTCTCCTCTCTCTCGCCCTGCTCTCACTCACGTGTGCCCCACCTCCAAACTACAACCTCACATAGCAATGAAAATATGACACCTACCTGCAGTGGTATAATTCTCCCACTGATGGTAACAAAGTTATGCTTTTCTATCCCACCAAATAAATCCCATATTCATCAGCAGAGGCTGCTTTATCAATTAACATTTGACCTTGTGTATTTCTTTTTGAATTTATACAGAATTCCCGCTGGTATTTTCTCCCTTTTAAAAATATAACCAGAATGCATGCTATACATCAACACAGGTAGATTAAAGAATGCTGAGAACTGACAGAACATGAATTCGCGTGTGTTGCAAGGGTGCTTCAGAGGAGACTGGTATGTGAGTTGGTTGTCTGAGGGAGGGAAGATCTGCCTTGGACATGAACAAGCATCACTCAACTGGGAAAACCCAGATAGAACAAAGGGGTGGAGTCAAGAATTCCTTCTTCCTGAGCTTGCCACACTCTCCTCCTGCCACAGACATTAGGATGTCAGGTTTTCTGACCTTGAGACCCCAGGATTATAGCAAGAGGCCCAGGTCTCAATCCTCAGGCTTCTCTTATTCTACGGCCTTTGTACTTGGGCTGAGTCATACTAGTAGCATCCCAGCAAGGTATCCCATTTCCAGAAAGCCTATCACAAGGTCTTTCAAACCCCACAATTATTTACATTAATTCCTCCCATAAATCTCCATTTATGTATATATTCTTTTTTCTGTCCCTAGGGAATACTAATACAATAAGTTTCCTCACACCATAATACCTTTCCTATATTTTTAAAACATGAGATTAACAAGCTTAACCATTTTATCCCTTTCTACTTTGAGGAAGAGAGAGAGGGAGGAAGGGACTCAAATGTATGCAAGCCATACCTATAAGGCTTGGAGTTCAGCTGATTGTGTATCAGTTTGACTGCCCTGAGACTGAGAATCAGATGAGACTGCCCTGGTAGAGAAAGCTGTCAACAGAATAGGAAGTGACAAGACTTCAAAACAATCTCCATTCCTGACATTAGCTGCTGATTGTCATGGAGGTGTTATTGGTCACTTAACCCAGATCATATCTTAAAATTGGAGTAGAGATCCATCTCACCCCAGAGAGCCAGAACTTACCTCATGCCCACATAAACTGATATTGAAGAAATGGAAGTACTTCGTTCCCTTGGAGGTGAAGCTGGGGCCGTTCATGAGCGAGCCCACACTGCTGAGGTTGCGGAAGTCATAGTGCAGACTCTGGTTTTCTTTTTCATGGTAGAACAAGCAGTCGCTGTAGCAAAGCGAGTGATCCTTCATTTAAAGACACAGAAACAATAATGCAGAAAACATTAACTGCAATGAAGAAAAGTTCTAGATTTCAAAAAGTTCTAGATATAAAATCTTTCAGTAATTGTTGTATTAGTTATATTTTGTCATACCAATGGTAGTGAACTCCTAATGGCTAAATGTCTCTACAAAACATTCAGAAGAGTCAAGATTTTTTTAATCAGGGATATTTTCTCTGATAACCACCTTATGGGAAGGTATTTTTAAGAAATATTAAAAACTTTCCATTAGGCTTGTTTTCACAGACAGTAAAGCCCTTCCATTGAGCTACTCTGATCCTCCACTGCTCTGCTGTCTAGCTAATGCTGTACACCATGAATACTGCTTTCCAGAACATTCCTTCACCCAGCTTACAAGAGCAGTTATTCTTCCTACCTTGGAAGTGCACAAGATACTGATTTTTTAGTATTTTTTGAAAACATTCTTATTTGAAAATTTTCATATTTTGTCACTAGTAACCAGCATTTCCACGGCATAAATTCAGAACTCAATGTAAGAGAAGAGGAAACAGGAAAGAGAATTACAAAGCATTTTCCAATGTCAATAGCAACTCCACGTACTTCTCCCACCCCATGGGGAATAACTAAAAAGCTACTCCCTTACCCGGGTGCTTTTACTTCCAGGCCCACACAGAATGCAAGCTTCCTTGCCATAGACCTGGTGGATGGACAGGTAGGTGTCAGCTGGACACTCTTTGCACTGGTTGGTTTCTTTCTCGATGTAGTGCCCTGGGGGGCAGGGTACACATGATGAGCCTGACTGCTCAGAACCCAGGGCACAGGCACGACATGATGAGGCTACCCCATCAACTGCATTAGTGGCTGTGATAGAATAAATCTTCACCACATCATTGATGAAACGTCTGTTCTAGAAAGAGAGCAGAAAGAATGGCATCTGCCTTGGAGCGCAACTGCATGACCGAGTTATCCAGTTATGTTTATGTTGACACCAACAGAACATTCCAGACTGATAGCTTGTGAGTAACCGTGGGTTACCTTCACTCCCATTCAATAGTTCTAAATAAAAGCCCTCAAATATTGACATTAGAAGCCACTTTATATAACCATGGAATTCCAGATGTGTTGCTGCAATTGACATCAGACATGTCATGACTGGCACTGATAGTTACAGACTGTATCCAAAACAATACCAGAGTATCTTTATATCTCAACTTAGCTTACCCAGGCATAACTCTTAATGATGCAGTCTGATGCTGAAAGTCTCGAAGGGTGGAGAATCTTGGAAGGTGAGGACCTCTTTTCCTCACTCAAACACTGTGTGATACTGATAGACTCATTCTGAACCTTTCTTTCTCTCTCCAGCCCTTCACCTAAGCATTGCATTCTAATTTCAAAAAGAAAAGGATGTCAAAGGAGCCAGCAAGATGCTGAATCTTGGCTCTTTTGTCCTTTTAATGGTATAGGATTAATTAAGGTCAGGCTTTTGTCACCCTAGTGCACAATGTTACATCTGACAGCTTAATCCTCTTCTGGACCAAGACAAAAAGACAAAGAGAAGATGAAGTTCCACCTCTGTTCACCTCCTCATCTTTGTATTCTGAATACTAAATAACAACCCCCAAAAAACAATTTGAAGTCATGCAAAATCTGGGGACTGGCTTCCCACTGAAAATCTGAACAGAAAAGAAAAAAATGTACCACACGTGGCACAACAGCAATGAAGCTATTCCCAGCAAAAATCCACCTTGTTCCCATTTTGATAAAGTCACATCTGTGGAGATACACAACAAATAACATGCCTGTGGCTAGGGAGAAGGTGCAGAGGCAAGGTGCTTACTGCACAAGCATCAGGACCTGAGTTTGGCTCCCAAGGAATCAGATAAAAACTAGGTATGGCACATAGCATGGCCCCATGGCCCCAGCTGTACACATAGGGGAGAGTGACAGTGTCAGGCACAGGTGGGTGAGGAAGTCCTTGGTCCCGTGAAGGCTGGATGCCCCAGTGTGGGGGAAATCATGGGTGGGGAGGTAGGAGTGGGAGGGTGAGAGGGCATATCCTTATAGAAGCAGGAGGAGGGGGGATGGGATAGGGGGATCCTGAGTGGGGGGGGATGGGGAAAGGGGATTACACCTGAAATGTAAATAAAATATCCAATAAAAAATTTTAAAAATAAATAAATTAATTAAAAACAAAAAACTGGGTATGGCACCATGGGCTTCTAACCCCAAAGGTAGGGCACTGCATAGGATAGAGACAAATATCCTGGGAGCTCTCTAGCCTGCTAAACTAGCCAAAATAGCTGTCTTTACCTTCTCTGAGAGATCCTGTCTCAAAAGATAATGTTGAGAATAACTAGATGACTTCTAATGCTGTTTCTGATCTACATACACATATTCACAGACATACAAGCACAGTCAAAAGATAACACACACGCATGTATATACCACACACGCTCCAAAAATAAAATAAACACATACATACACACATATTTACATACATTCATGCATACATACATACATACATACATACATCATACATACCAGCCCTGCTAATATGGAAACATACAGTGGAATTTTCATAGAGAAGATGAGGCTTATGCTAACAATGAAAGTCAAAGAAAGGCAATGGTTGACTATGTTCTACCACTGTGTATACAAATGCATTCTTTCTAACACAAGACAGTATCATAACGAAAAACATAAACCCACACTTGTTAATGACTCTTAAACAAATATTACTGGTTGGATAAAGGAGACTAAGTCTTAGTCCCAAAAAGATTTAAAAACAACGTTTTAAATAAAAGCAAAATTGAATTTTCTCTTAAGCTTTAACAACTGTATTTGCTCTTCAGTCATAAAAGAGTTCTGTTGTTATTCTACCCATTTCATACATTCATATTCTCAAAAAAATTAAAAATTGCCATTCTATACCAATTCATTATATAATAAGATGACTGACTCAAATTAGTGTCTTCTGCAATTTGAGCAGTTTTGTATACATCACCAAAAGTGGACCTCATCTTTGGAATTAAAAAAAATAAAAATTATGGGATCATATTATCTTGTTTAGAAGGTTTAATACTGTGTACACCTCATTGTGAACCTTTAAGGTTCTCTGTATGACATTCATACTATCCTCTGTACAGGTTATAGTGCTCTATACAGATATCGTAATTTCATTCATTGATCTCACATCTCCATGTATAGAGTTCATAATGCACATATGAAGCTCATAGTACACTTACAAAGGGCTTATACTGTACCTTTAAAAGATGTATAGGCCCCCATATACAGGTCAGAATGTGTTTATAGAGAGAGCATAGCTTACCAGCACATAGCTTGTGATGACTTCTACAGGGTTCACACTGACTTATGTAGAGTACACCTGCCCTTTCAGACCACATTATGCTGTATATGGAGCACATGATGCTTCTGTGTACAACTTTCAGTGTCTCCAGAAGAAATCATTATGCTCTGAATGGAGATTACACCCAGGGGTAAAGAGTAAGAAAATGGGTGGAACTTACATCTTGGCCTTGATTTGTTCTCTGGAATGCCCATGTAAATGTAAAGGTTGCATTCTTGAAGATGACATGCGTATAAGCTTGCTTTTCTTTGGTTCCTCCCCATGATTCCACCACATTGGTACTTTTTCTATTTATATCCTAAAACAGTAGGGAAATATTTACAAATAAAGCACAAATTCAGTATTAATACAAATACATATCCATTACAAAGATGTACTTTTATTTGGAGAAAGCTGTGTAAGACTCATGACATTTTCCAGCTGTACCCTACCTGTTCTAACAATACAACTCTCAAAACTCCCATAAACACACTGCCAGCCAAATGGGAAAGAAATCCCAAGTGACCATATGTTTAAGAAACACACTTAGAAAACATTATTTAGAAGGGAGAATTCTCAAACACCCTAAGGAAAACTTCTAGGATCCTCACTGAATAAAAGGCTTCCCATTTGAAACTTTTTTCTTTGAGAGACTCTAACAAAACCATTTACATAGAAATTCTGTTTCCCTCAAAATTGTACTTACTACAGGTTTATTCAAATGAAAGTTAACCAGAATGCTGTCCCATGCTCATGAGTACTCTCTGGATAGGATCTGAACTCCATGAAGTTTCATTTACAAACTATTTTATTTATAATTTTCTTAGCTAAATTAAAAAAAAAATAACCATGGAGATTTGACATACTCCAATCAATATGCCGTCATCAACATGACCTGAAAGCAAGTACAATAACCAATACAAACGTATAATTTATTTAAAATGAAAACAAAAGTTAAGTCTGAAGTTTTAAGTCAAGCTTTCCTTTAGAATTTCTGATAAATAGCTTGTTTCTATTAGTTATCTGGGATATTGGAAACATGTTGTCATGGCCTCAAAATTTGTCTCTTTCTATAATATAGATAGAAGGATTAAAGATATTATTAAGCAATCAAATATAGATAACAGTATAGAAAAATGATTCCCACACATTAAATTAATCTTATCACCAAATAACCAAATTATCATACTGGACACTTACAAAATCATTAAATATTGTTCTCAGTTATAAGAAGTAAAATTTATTACCTTACTATAAACAATGTATCTCTATACTGCAAAGTGTTATTTGACATCCAAAGCATTGTTATTTGTGATTTAATTTGACAACTTGAAACTCTTATGATAAAACCAGTCACTTAAGGACTAAAAAGAATGCTATCAGGCTCTGCTATAAGCTACATCTCTACCATGATTTGTAACATGTAAGCTTGGCATGGTGGTACCCTAAAAAGAAGAGAACACAGCATTAGAGATGGAGAGAGGTATTTGGGGAGAATGGAAGGTGGAGATAGGAAATGGGATATGATCAAAATACATCATATATATGTGTATGGAATTATCAAAGAATAAATTAAATGTCATCGGAAACAGAATGACTGTTAAGACCAAAAGGAGGGGGAGATGTCAGAATGAAATGATACTGTGCATGCTAATTTTAAGTTTTTGTATTTTTTTAAACAAAAAAAAAATGGGGAAAAGAGATACTGTTCGGGGTAAGGGAGGAGTGGTGTAGTTGATGTCAACTATTATTAATACTCAGACAGCAGCATAAATGGGAGGAGATGGAGTCAAAGGACTGGGATCACCGAAATGGTCCAGAGATGGTAGGAAACTGAACTTCTCCAATGGTGCCGAACCCAGCTTCATAGGCTAAAGACAGAAAGCCCAGCTGGGAAGACTGAAGACTCGTGGTTGTGAGGTAGATGGCTCTATTGAAGATCATCCATGACCTTTTGTTGCCTATATGTCAACCTTTAGCAATCACACACGAAATGTTTAAATATTTACACATCTTGGATATAATAGAAAAAAGTTCTCGCTGAGTGGTGGTGGTGCACACCTTTAATCTCAGAACTTGGGAAGCAGAGGCAAGTGGATTTCTGAGTTCAAGGCCAGACTGGTCTACAGAGTGAGTTCCAGGACAGCCAAGGCTACACAGAGAAACCCTGTCTCAAAAAAACAAAAAAAGAAAAAAAAGAAAAATTCTTTAAGACTAAAAGTTCCCTAAAGACAAACTAAAAACACAGCAAAGTAGAACTATAAAGTCACTATTTAATTAAAATGATAAAATTTCAGTCAACAAATATTTAAAATATCTATGTAGTCTTAGTGTATATGAAATGCTACTTTTCTAAGCTAGGATTTGAATTAAATTAAATCACATCATCAAATAAGCAAATTGGACATGGCCATAGTAAATTCCCTTGACTAAATGTATTAGATTAAAATAGAAAGATTTTGCTTTCTTTCCAGAACTTTATATGCCCACTGTTTTCTGCTGTCCCTTGCTAATACATCTTTCCTTGTGATATTTGCATTGCTGAATAGTTGAGTTATTAGGGTAAGCTTTTCATCAGCACAAAATAATTTTCTAAAATTGATATTCTGTGGCCTTTACCAGTCACCTGGGAACTCTCACCATGAGGAATGAACACTTAGTTGGTGAGCCTTATTGCACAATTCCTAGTAAACTCTTTAGATATTTTAAAAATATGTTTTAAAAGGTCCAAGAAAGCCAAGAAAACAGCCCATATCCCAACTTGAAAGGCAACAATAAATTGAAATGCACTATGAAATCCGCCTTCAATCACTCACCACCATGAAGTACAGAACACAATCAGCTGAGCAGAGAGTCTCAAATACAAATGTTATCCTTCCTAGTTCAGAACCTGTGGCTCCAGTCATAGATGTTGGTGGTCTATGTGACAGATTAAAGTTGCAATATCAATAATATATTCTGAATGCAATTCCAAACAATTAAAATGTGTGTGCTCATTAAACTGAAAATCTAGCTTGTCTCTTCAGTCTAGCTGAGGAAACACAGGTCCTTTCTTACTCAGTCTGTGTGTCTACACCCTTGTTCTAGAACAAGATCTCATGGTTGAATCCCATGTTTCTGAAGGAAGGAAAAGTCCCATACTAGGAAGTCTCAGCATAGGGGACTAACAGCAAAGACATACATAAGTGTGTTACATACTAATTACAGATAGAATTGAGATTAAATAACAAAATACACTCCTGCAAATCACTTAGACCAAGTCTTCTGTGTTAAAGATCAAAGCATCATAGTTATTACAGGTTTGGTTGTAAATCTGCTAACATATTTCAGCTTTTTCTAAGGAGCATACATGACTAACACTTTTAGGTTCTAATTCCATAGACATTCCAAATGATACCATATATCATTCTCTGGCATACTGTTGTTTATTTGATAATAAGAACACACTCTATAGAGCCTGTCTGACTTCCCTATTTCTATAGCGGTGAAGATTCTCATACAAAGGAATTATCTTCTCTTACTTAAATCCTGGGATGTGTAAATTTAAGATGAGATAATCATTGTCAGAGCCTCCAGCTCCACTCCGGATGTGATCTCCAGCCACCTCCCAACCTGAAAATGATAAAAGACATTTTATTAGTAAAATTTCATTAATTAATGACAAAACATCTTACAAATAAGTCAACATAATAAGCCAAATACATATCTATGCCCAAAGTTAGATGCACTCCAGAAAAATCCCATATTTTAAAATATCAGTTGTAGACTGGATGCACAAGTATACCTCTTGATAGCAATAAAGACATTCTGACTATACTACTTTGCATACAAGATAATATGAGACATGGCGAGAAATTTTTTTCTCAATGAAACATGACTTTTCAAACTGAAACAGATGATCTTTATCCATCCTGATACACGAAGATGGAACATTCCCACTCTGCTGACAGCCAGTGAAAAATTGAAACTTCAAATTACTTATTAAAGATTTGGGATCAGGAGTTCTTTTGAGTTGTCATTTTCCAATTTAACTTTTTCTAAATGCCAGTAAATATGGCATGCATGTGATGACAGATAGATCTCCTTCCCTGAGGAGTAGGGAATTTGAGGCATACACATGCTAACAAGTGTCAAGTGATAGTTTTCTGCACAGGAAGTCACATGAGGCATGTCCTCTGCACAGGAACAATCAATGTACCACAAGCCAAGATGAGCACTTTAAAATGAGCAAAGGTGATGTATCAAGCAAGCTCATTAGCTAAGGGCAATACCTTAGCATTGATATCTCTGCAAACATTATCCACTACTTTGAGAAATGTAACACAAGTATTAATATCAGTACTAAGTTGACAATTTTCAAATTTAATAATTTATTTAAAAATTAGTATATTGAGTGCACACTAGGAAAGCTTAGTAAAAATAATGTGCACTCATTCATTAGAGAAATGTTGATAGCTCTGCTGCCTAAAGGCTCCCATGATTGAAAACAAAGAAAAGCAGCTATCAGTTTCTAATTTAGGAGGTGAGTAACCATAGAACCCTGAGCCCCAGAGAGAGGAGAGAATGGGTAATAGGAGAAGAATTTGGGTTTAGAAGATAGGCATATGACAGGGGTAGCAAGGACCAAGACAGCCCATGTAGAACAATCAAATGCCAAGAAACCAAAGACTGGTGCTGTGTTTCTAAGAACATCTCTTTGAATCTATGAAAAGTATGAAGAATGTGAAAGAAAGCCAAGGAAAAGGCAATAAGTGATTGTGTGTAGGGGTGACAATGACTCAAGGAGAAAGCCTTGCCTCACATGTTTCAGTATTGACCAATACAGAATCCACCAGCTTCCCCCAATTTTTGTCTTTCTTGGCTAAGAAATACAATTTTTTTCACTTATCATTATCTTTGATTTTTTTTTAGTGACATCATTTCTCCATTACAAATCATTTTATATTCCATATCTAATTTTATTTATGTATATATGTGTTGTTCAAGAATTGTTTTCTTCTGTTTTTCATTCTTAAAAGAAACATTAAAATTAACATCTTTGTGTGCAACTTCCTTCTTCATATTATATTGTCTCATTGGTATAGATTCCCAGAAACAGTATTACTGAGTCAGAAGAATAGGAAAACTTTCTGGAATGGCATTTTCAAATCTCTTTCAATATAGTTTCCATATAATAAAGACACACATAGCATTTCATTCTATCATGTTACCTTATACATGTAAGCAATATTCTATTGCTGGAAAGTTAGATTATTTCCATTTGTATTTTTGTAGATAATGCCCAATGAATCTATTCATGAACAGTCAACTTATCTCCAACTTTTAATTTCTCACAAGCAAAATATCAATATACAAAAATTGGCTCTTCATTCCTAATACGCAACATCATCAAATTCAGACTTGAAGAATATGAAAACACCTCCACCATGTTTCCAAGCCAGTGTGGGCACACCCACTTTGACTGTCCAGCCAAGAGGGTGACTCCTTCCTAAGGCAGGCTGGCTGCCCATGCTTTTCCATTTGACCCTGTTGTGTGCAGTTTATTACAAAATGGCACAGAGACTCCAGGTCACATAAGTACATACCTCTCTTTACCTTTGCATTTTTATTTTATATTAGTGCTTTAAAAATAATTTAAAAATAGAACCTGTGAATAAATTGATAGAGAGTAAATCAAGTATTGTTATGAGAGCTAGAGTCTTCTATATTTGTCCCTGATAGTCTGTACTAGTGAGCAAAAACACAAACACAAACACACACAAACACACACGTACTAGGCCTTCTGTAGATTCATCCAACATGCTTGCTTTTGCAGTCTTAATTTCCTAATTGATCTTAAATTTCTGACTTCAAACTCAATCATAAGACACATTTCAGGGTTATCAACTCTCATAGAAAGATAATTATTGTAGTGTTTCCTGAAGTGGAAATTTCTGGTTTCTTTGGAGACTCAGTTGTGTCGTGTAATGTTTTTGGAAACTGTCTTTTGAGAGGATGTTGTGCTGAAGCAGACATATGAGAGGATGTTTGCTAAGAACAGACATGTGGTGTTTTTCTGCAGACAGGCTGGGAAAAGGGCATGTGATGTTTTGGTAGAGACCATACTTAAAAAAACACATGATGTTTGGGAGGGATATAAATATAGCCCAATGAACAGTGGTATTGGTACACCTTGCCACTCCTTGCTGGTCTTCTTTTGTCATGACTTCATAGAGAAAAACTGTTCTGATGGCTTCTTGCTGCTTCTGTGGACTCAGGCTGATTGGCAAAGCCTTGCAGTGTCTTCTGGATCAACCTGTCATTGCTGATTTGTGACTGGTGTTTACAAATGGATCCAGCTACCACCGTAGATTCGTGTGACTTGAATTGCTGATATCCTGACAGCACAGACAGGATTTGCTCCAAAGAAATATTTCTAAACAGGTCCACATCCTCTTTCGCTCTACTAACCTTTCCTTTCCACTACCTCGAATGAGTGGTGGGATAGAAAGAATGTTAAAGTATTTAAGAACCCTTATTAAAAGTAGGTTTTGAAAAATCTAAGCCCACAGTTTCCTCTTCTCTTGGGGGATAAATTCCTTAAGGTGGTATTATTGGTCAATAAAGAATACTTCATATTTAATACACATCAGGTCTTGGTCTTTCACTCATTTGTTGACTCAAAATTATTCAAGCCTCCGTTTGATCTCTATACTCACATGAACATTTCATATCCTATGTCCCAAACCTGTTTTGGAGAGATACTGACTCAAAACATGCAATCTTAAAACTGTTTATGTAAACCTAGGGACAAGGCTCAAATATAAGATGGAGAAAAGTAAGCTGATAAAAATGATGGTGAGGTGATAAAGGATGGACTCCATTGTTTACTCTTGTTATTTGGAATACTAGCTTGTGTCAGATTTCAAAATGAATATGACCCACAAGGAGTGTTGAAAGAACATTGGCAGCTGTCCTATAGAACTCTGCTACATTTACATGTCATCAGTAAGTGGGATTTAATGGCATCTTAAGAACACAGCCAGGGACTTCACTAAAAATGAGAATTTGCAATCTTTAACCCTTTACCATGCATGACCCAGTACTGAGCCAGACCCAAAGGATTTAGTAACTTACTACTCCTTAAAACACCAAATGATATAAGATGTTGTCACCCTCCTTGGGAGCATCTCTTCTGGGGTCTGTGACTTTAATGTGAAGTTCAATATCTACTTAAAAGGTGACTACGTAAAATGCAAGGTTAATACAGAAGCCTGTCTACCTCCAACCCCTCACGCACACATCTATCCTCGGGAGATAAGCTCTGAGACCCACAGCAGATACATCAAGCCCTACCATTTTATATCTTTTCTATCTTAGCACTTACCACCATTTAATTTCTGCCCTTTTGAGGTGTGAGAGTAATGCAGGCACAGAAGTCATTTTTCCTTCTTCACAGATTAATAGCTAAAAGCTTTTCCTTACCATAGATTTTAGCAACTTCAGTGTACAATTTATGTTCTCTCTTGACTGAGTTGAGAACTTTTGCATTTTCAGCTAAAAGGGTGGAAGGGAGGGAGGAGCAAGGGCTCTTTGGCATGTTTCCTTGTGGTATGAGACTATTATTGAGAGAGTTATTTGAACGCAGATATTGTAAAACCTGAGAACTGGATCTAAATATCAAATATCAAGATGGCTACTAGGTCACTAATGGACAGGAAGCAGATGTAACCACACAGAGGAATAATTCACATCCTAGGCTGGAAAGGAAAGAAAAATAGAATGAGGTTCTGTTAGCTACTTAGAACACTTGACTATTTAAAACTTTAAGTATTTGTTTCTGTGATGTGCTAATTGGTATTTACACACTGCTACTGACGATAGAAAGCTGAAACTAAAGGAAGCAGAGCCATGGAAAGGGGAGAGGCACTGTGGTTGTGATCACTTTAGGAATGGCATCTGATTGATTGCTTGATTTTTATATAAGGGCTGAAAGATGAGCACACAGCCAAGGAAGACTAAGTTTCTCACAAACAAGTCCGGTATTATCTAAAAAGCTAAGTCTAAAGACGAATGGTATCTTCGCTGCCACAACAGTGAACATAGATTCCAAGCTCACCATTCATTCCATCACACTTGGAATTACCAACATTAAAGCAGGAAGTTTTCATGTTGGCAGGGAGGACATTCCACCACTTATATTCAAACCCAAGCGCTGGCTCTGTTCCGGCCGGACATGACTTGCATTCTGTGGAACATGAGTGAGTACACAATAGCGTTAGACTGTGTCTAGCACAGCTTTCTCTGTGCCAAGCAACTCTACACTGAAGTTTCCAGACAAATGTGAGGGACAAACGTTATGTTACCACCAATCACCTTAGCAATTTTTTCAAAACAGATCTGAAATTTTTTTTCAAGCTACAGTACGGATGCACATGTGCTTATTTAGCAGTTTTGTTTGTACACTGCTTCATACTATGCTCACCTTGGTGAATGGGTCATTATCCATGGTTGTTTTTCAAAGAATAATTAAATATATGATTGTTAAAGAAGATGGCCATACACACAAAATACCAGTAAGACTGTTCTCATCAGATGGGAGATAAGTCACCATGGTCTCATAGTCCCATTATGAATATTTCTCAATACTTCTTCATCTCAACAAAGTACGAAATGTGTCTTCTAAAGACTTTTCAAAAAAAAGCACTCAATAACAAGACCATAAGTCTATCTGGAATGTTTTTCTGAACGTGCAACTCATGATAGACACCCTACCCTTTGTTCCATCTGAAAACGTCCCGGGAGGGCAGGGTTGGCAAGAAGAAGAGCCATTGTTATAGAATCCTGGGTTGCATGGGGGACAATCCTTCTTCTCTCCAGAAGGGGGCAGCCTAATAGCATCCGTGAGATCCTCCCTGCAGATTTTTGGCTCTATCCACTTGTACATTATCTGTGTCTGGAAAAAAATAAAGTTTTTAAAATTAAAATTGAAAGTAAATAATGCAATATCATGTAATATCTTTACAACAAAGATGCTAAATTTATAAGCTGAAGAATTACAAACAGTGGAGAACAGAAGAGAGGGCTGAGAGAATCTAAAACAGTGACAATGAGAGAAAAAGGTAACTTTCTTTAATACAATATGGAGAAAAATAGGTATGAAAATAATCATGTGCATGTGTGTGTATGCATGTGTGTATGCATGCATATGAACATATGAAGATGTCTTTCATAGTTGCTATCCATCTTCTTTTAGTGTCTGTGTGTGTGTGTGTGTGTGTGTGTGTGTGTGTGTGTGTAGGTGGAGAAGGAGGAGGGAGGGAGTAGGACCTGAAGGATATGGTTCTTTCTTTCCATCTTGCGGGTCTGGGAGTGGGTGCTTCGTCATGGTAAGTGACTTTACTAAATGAGCCATCTCTCTAGTGACATCAGGTTATTTTTTGGAAAAAGAGCTTCTCACTGAACGTAAAGCTTATAGATCTCGTCCCAGGTGTCCTCCTGTCTTTACTTCCCTAGTTCTGGGGATACAGGAGCAGGCTACTACACTCATTTTGTAGTGTGAGCTCTAGACAACCAAGCTTGTGTTTTCGTGCTTGTGTGGCAAGCACTGAGCGAGCCAGCTCCCTAGTCCCTGGAAACAATCATTACATTGCACTAGCTTTTAACCTAAGTCGTAAGTACCCTTATAATACAGACAACATGCTTCTTATCATGAATCCCTCCTTAAAATGTAAACAACTAATAGATGTTCACCTCTGAACACATACATACATATGAATAACTCTCTCTATATATACAGACTGAGCAGGTTATATCTAGAGATATGTATATGTATATATGTATACACATTTACATAAACATATAATGAAAAAGGCTGTGAATTCGAGTGTGAGCAAGGACAGGTATTTGAGAAGGTTTGAAGAAAGAAAAGGGGAGAGATAAATGTTTAATTATGTTATGATCTTAAAAATAAAAGCAAGCAAATGTTGCCCCTGCGTCTGCTCACTTCCATGCATAGCCAACGACTTCAAGACAGTGGGTCTTGCTTGCTTACTGGTTCCCTCCACTGCGCCCTTCCTTTTCTCCAGCCATAGCCTTTCTTACCACACTTTGATAGAGTAATCATCAAAGAAAAATGTTATTTTTCAAAAAGAATAGATAAAACCTTATGTGCACTCCTAACAATTCATAGTTCCTGAGTCCTTTTCAATAATATGAATTGTAGTGAGACTATTCTTTCCAGAAGCTCCTATGGCCTTCTCTATGTGCTCTGAGCACCAGGACAAATACACCCCTTGCTCTCCATGAGAGCAGTCAGTTATACTCCTTCTTGTTGTCCTACTCCTCACAAAACAGAATACAGAAAAATGTGGTAACTCAGCTACACCCCAAAGGCTGCCATGCTAAAATTAGTTATTCTCACTTAAAAAGCAGAAGAACAGATAGGTTAGCTGTCCTAAACCAAAACTGGGATGTGATCACTGATAGGTGGAGTATTCCAGCATAAATACAACTATCAGTTCTGGAACTACATCGAGGTTTTTAGAAGAGACAGTAACTGTTCCTTTCATCCAATAAACTTTTGAAAGTATTGTTTGTCCTTTAAAACAACTTCTGCAGTAGGAAGTCTGTTAAAGCTGGGGAACAGAAAACATAGGCAGTCTTCCACCTCTGGTTCTAGTCCGTAAGAACCCACATAGCGAGCCTTTAACGCCACACCAGTGAATCCTCAAATATGTTTGTGGAAGTTGCGTTATCTTGTATGAAGAAGGATGCTAAAACAAATGGCTTAAATATGGATGTCTCATCAGAATGATAAATAGTATTATTTTCTTTTTATAGCTCCCTTTCCACATTCACTTTATGGTACATGTCATGATGTGCTTTAATGCTCTACTTTATCCCTCTGCCTCTGTGGCCATCTATAAAACAATGGCACTCCAGCTAACTCCTCCTAAGTAGCTAGAAGCATCAAATTAGAGACCATATCCATAAAAGGCCCTCAACTACCCCTGAAAAAAGAAGAATAAAATTCAGAGACTCAAAACAAATAAAGAATCATAGGAGAGACATTGACTTTAAGTTTCCAGTTTAAGTTAACAAATAAAAAAAACCAAATTTAAGATCCTAGTAAATTCACTAATTTCCTGATTCACATTAATAAAAATGCATGAGCAGCTCCATTTGGGGAAATTTTGCTTCCTACACAAGAACAGAGGAGATGCCATGTTGGAGAAGAACCTTCCGAGCCTCTTCGGGACAAACACATTATTACCCCCAGGTTTGTAAACAAGAAAACCTGGATTTCCAAATTAAAGTTGTGAGTACATGCATAGGCCGGATAACAACCTTGGGCACCATTCTTCTGACTCCATCTACATTTTATTTCTTTTGCCCTGAGACAAGATCTCTCACCCCTGAATCTCCATAATTAGGCCAGGCTGCCGGCTGGCCCACAAATTCTGAGAATCTGCCTTTATGTTCTCATCCCTAGAATTACAAACATATGCTTCCAGGCTAGGCTCCTTACATGGGTATTTCAGACTGAACTTATGTTGTGTAATTTTCAAGGCAGGCACTTTACTAACTAAGCTATCTTCCCAGCCCCAGATCAGAGCTATTAAACAACTTACCCAAGCGATGCAAACAGCACCATTAAAAAAAGGTCAGTGTGATGAAAATAAAACCAATAAAACATGCAAAGAGATTTAAGAAGCCAAATAATCAAGTACTTCCAATGTAAGCAAAGAAGAATTTTAAAAGTGAAGGTATACCTTAAACAGTTTAACATGGAGAGATCAAGTTACCAATCCTCCATGATCCATGCTCTCCTTACAAACCTTCCTGCCACACACGACAAACTGCTTCTCTGTCTTTCTAACAGACATATGCTTCCCAGTGTAGCTGACAGGAAAAGACACTAATTAATATTAATGATTCTTAGAACCAGCTGGCTCACAGTGCAGGTGAGACACCAACAAGCAACTCATTCTACAGAAAGTGAGAGGCAAACATGAAACGGTTTTATGAAACCAAACCTCTCTCAACAGAGTTTTACCAGAAGAGTGTAAAGATTACAGAAGAGCTACGATATTCACGTGGATCTAGGCTAAACATTAAAAGTGGATCTCTGTGATCTCAAGGCCAGCCCACTCTACACAGAGTTCTAGACCAGCCAAAGCTACATTGTGAGATTTTGTCTTTAAGAACAACACTATCAACCAACCAACCCTCTCCCCTGCCAAGAGCTCCCAAGGACTAAACCACCAACCAAAGAATGTACACACGGAGGGACCCATGGCTCCAGCTGCATATGTAGCAGAGGATTGCCTTATCTGGCATCAGTGAGGGGGAGGCCCTTGGTCCTGTGAAGGATCAATGTCCCAGCATAGGAGAATGCTAGGGCAGTGAGGTGGGAGTGGGGTGGGTAGGTGAGGGGAGCACCTTCATAAAAGCAGGCGAGAGAGGGGATGGGGGTTTGCAGAGAGGAAACTGGGAAGAGGGATAACATTTGAAATGTAAATAATAAAATAATCAATAAACATTTTTAAAAAAAGAAATGAACTGAATTTATGAAACATGGGCACATAATTTTCTTCTATGCTAAGAGCCTATTTAGAGATTTTCTGACTTATCTGAAAAACACATTTCATGTATATGTATGCATTCAGCATGCTTGCAAGTGTGTGCTCTGTGTGTGTGTGTGTGTGTGTTCTAAATTGCATTTAAATATGCACAGACTTAATTCTATTAGGCCATGTCAGCCAGATATTGTCAAACTGGTCACTGGCATTATACTCACCAATATACTAAATCAGTCAGAGATGTAACAAATATGATTTAAATATATTTTCATGTTGTTCAGATGTAATGCATCAACAGACCTCATTCATTTATTCTGTAGTAATACTGAACTAATCATCATTACATAGAATAAACTAAATTTACTTTTACCAATAAGTAAGGCATGCTTAGCTAAGAAAGGTTTATTTTAAAGGTATTATAGCCAATGCTTTTTATTCCATCTTAGTGGCATCTCTCTATGTGTGTGTTCTGAATTAAAGTAGCCTCACATGGCATTATCATGTGGCCATTGACGATCTTACTCTACAACCCCTCATTAGTTACTGCTGTTAGTTTGAGTTAACATTCATATTAAAAATAATAGCTGTGTTTCTTACTAAACATTTCCATGAATCTCTTTAAATTAGTATATATTTACTTTAACTCAATTCAAAATTCCTTCAAAGTTTTTAAAGGCAAAAAGGAAGTTTCATATTCACATAAATATGAAAAGTACAGATTAGCTCTCACAGATACAAAATTAGGAAAGGAAAAATAATGTCTGCTGGCATCTTCAAACACTAAATCCCTCATGTGCAAATAGATCTGAAGGACACTTGAACAGACTCCACTTCACTCTCAGCTTCTCACTGGCAGGCCTGGTACAGGCTGATTCTTTGAGACAATGATGGGTCAACAGCAAAGTTTATCTGTGCATGTTCCCCCAGCTAGATGCTGTACATGTGGTAATTACTGTGTGTTTTCTAAATGCAATTACACAGTAGTCTGCCGCAACTGACTCAGTCTGTGCCTGAACAGCTTCTCTGATAAGACCTGAGTAGCTCACGGGTCAATATAAGCTACAGGGTATCTTCATCCTGTGAACTGTAGTACTTCAAGCTATCTTCTTCTGGATCATTTGACCTCTGGGGGAAAAATGTATTTTGTTAAAAAATGGTGATCTGAAAGAATGCATTTATTGAAAAAAATAGTAACAATGTGTGGGAGTAATATCAACCTTGTTTTAAAGATAAAAATGGAGGCAATCATGAAATGTTCTTATGAAACCAAAACCCTCTCAGAGAAGTTTTACCAAAATACCATAAAGATTACCAAAGAGCTACATAGAGTGTTCAGAGAACTAATTGGGAGGTAAAAGCAAAGGCAGTTTCCAACACCTAAACTCTTAGATTTCCTCTGCACTGTCTGCACACACTAGCTACAAACCAGGGGGTACCCACGCCTGGGAAGAAAGTTTAATAAACACAGGATGAGTTAAACACTACTTATGATACCTTTCCTTCTTCATCACAGGGGGTATGGATCTGGAAATAGTCTTTGGTAGTGCAGGGTGGGCGATCCACACACTCACTGGCTCCTTCCTCTGTAACACACATGCACACAAAGCACTTCAGAAATGCACCAATCCCTTTGTGATCATTAGAAAACAGGAACATCAAAACACAAAAGCAAGCTAACATGTTAAAAAAAATAAATCACTGTGCTAGAGTAATTCAGGTCCAACTAGCCAAGTCTTAAGTAAATAAAGGTTTGTATTTTCATTCTCTCTGGAAAGAGGGTAACAATGTTTCTATGATACATCTGCTGGTGACTGTTTCCAGACAATATTAGATTCCTCCTATATTGTCAACGAACAGTGGAAGTCTGGAACAAACTAAAGATTTGTAAGTATATCTCTACAGCCTTTGTAGTAATAAATCACATGAAATTAAAAAGTTGGATAAACTGATACAAACGCCAGTAATCAATGGAGTAAGGAAAATCATAAAGGGAGAAGGTCATGCAGAGAAAGACACTGGGATGTCGTGTTGTCATTGCCCTCAATTCAACATGTGTTCACTTCATCCCAGTGGTGTGTGATCCACCATTGTTACCACACTCGTTCAACAATGGGAAACACCACTGGCCAACAATTAACATGGAAAGAGAGGAATAACAAGCATCAGTTAGCCTTACCTGAAAATTGGGAGTCCTCACTACACTTTATGCATTCTTTAGCCCCTTTCTCAGAATAGGTGTTTCTGGGGCACAGTTGGCAGTTAAATGAGCCTGGTTTGTTGCTGAAAGTCCCTGGCTTACATGGAAAGCACTCTGAGGTGTACGCCACCCCTGTGTGGAAAGGAAAACAGGGCTTGGAGGAGGTAACCCAGAACAATGAGCACATTAGCACCGACTCGCTGCTTCTGTAGAGAAGACAGAAATAGCGACAGTAATTTGAGCCTACATTCTTTATTTACTTGGAACAAAGAAAGATTGATGGTGTGCAAGCAAGTAGGAATGACTCAAGAAATGGTTCTTGGTTTGAAATTCCAGCTTGAACCAGCAGATGTCCCAACGACTAATGAGTTAACAACTCGGGAGCAGGCGTATGGGATACAGCATGACATACCAAACTTTAATAAAGAAAAATTGCTGCTTTGATTAGATACAGTCTACTTACAAATGTGCCATGACAGGGTTTATTAGTGGCTCAGCTGGCCAAAAGTGACCCATCTGGTTCAGAAAGGCACACGAGGTTTAAGAAACAGCCAGGCTCTTATTATTTTTATGGTTATAGTAATAACTAGATTAACTGGCATAATTTACATATCTCTAATGAGTAATGGGCTCCTGTAAACAAGTCCACTTTCATTTTATTAAAAAAAAACACTGAAGATTGTCATTTATTGTGTTTACTGCTTCACATCTATTAGATAATTCAGTTTGAGGGCAGAAAGACAAAGACAAAACTGATTAATCAATTTGGTGGACATAAAACTAAGGTCGTTAGGCATGCATGATATCTGACATTTGTCTTTATTATAAATACTTAGGTCAGTAAACCAACACTCTAACAAATATCTTAACACTGAAATTGGACGAGTGAGTCCTGAGGCACATAGCTATGAAATACCTTCAATGGTGATATTTTTTACTAGCACGGGCTTGACTGCCTTGGAACCCAGAAGGATGCCTGTTGTCCTCCAGTACAGAATATTTGTGCCTGATTTCAACATTACCTACAGAAAAAACACAAGACACTTAGGTCAGATGAGCTATTTCTAACCACAGCCAGAAATTACTCCCTTATAAGCTCTTTCATTTCCTTATATAAACACCACTAAAATAGAAGTAACAAATTTAAATACTCTTAATTTCAGCCTAAGCTTTAATGAAGTTAATTTAAAATTTAAAATAGAACAGTCAGACAATCTATACTAATATACTAAGAAAGAAACTAAGTCTAAACAAAAGATAAACTTGTTTTTAAACTTTAAATTTGTAGCTTATAACCAGAAGGGCTCTATCATAAAGAATAAATGAATTTGCACACAAGTATATACTTTTGACAGTAATGGGATAGAGGGAGGGAGAGAGGAGCGGAGGGTGGGAGGGAGGGAGGGAGGGAGGGAGGGAGGGAGGGAGGGAAGGAAGGGAGGGAGGGAGGGATGGGAGGAGGGAGACACAGAGACTAAGAATAGAGCAGAGACTGAAGGAAAGGCCATCCAGAGACTGTTCTACCTAGAGAGCCATCCCATCTGCAGACGTCAAACCCAGACACTATTGCTGATACCAAGAAGTGCTTGCTGACAGGAGCCTGTATAGCTGTCCCCTGAGAGGCTCTGCCAGAGCCTGACCAATATATATGTGAATGTATGCAGTCAAACATCGGACTGAGCATGGAGACCCCAACAGTAATGCTATTAGGGTATTAGGACTGAAAGAACTGAAGGGGTTTGCAACCCCAAAGGAAGAACAACAATATCAACCAATCAGACCCTCCAAAGATCCCAGGGACTATACCACCAACCAAGGAGTACACATGGAGTGACCCATGGCTCCAGCTGCATATGTAGCAGAGGATTTCCTTATCTGGCATCAATGGGAGGGGAGCCCCTTGGTCCTGTGGAGGCTTGATAACCCAGCATAGTGGAATGCTAGGACAGTGAGGTGGGAATAGGTGGGTGGGTGGGGGAGTACCCTCATAGAAGCAAGGGGGAATAGGGGTTTGTGGAGGGGAAACTGGGAAGGGGGATGACATTTGAAATGTGAATAAATAAAATAACCAAAAAGAAAAAGTAGCTAATGCTGCCCTCATCCAGCGAGTTCCCACAGGAACGCCTTTAAATGAAGAGCAAGCCTGGATCTCCACTGTCTGCCTTTCTGTTTTACCATGTGAACCCCTTGTATACATTCCTGCCATTCTGATGCCACCTTCACCAGAGCTGGGAAGATGTAGCTGTGTGACATTAAACCTCCAAAACTGAATTAAGTAAGCCCTTTAAATTTAGGAAATAACCAACCTTGTGTATTTTATTCAATGATAGAAAACAGCCTATCATAGCTTCATAGCTTCTTAAAACCATTCAGTTGGCCATAGTGTGACGGGAACAAGAGAATGTAACATGATTTAACCCTGGCTTGAGAAGTTAAATGATAGTAGCATTTGCATCCTTTGCCGCTGGGACATTGCCTACATATAATCAAATGAATTTTCTAATACATTTCCTGCTGATGCAGGTGACTGACCCAAAATTAGGTCTTTGCTTTTTCATTCGATACCTTTATCCTTCTATGCACCCTGGCTGATAAAATTCAAACTCCACAACATTAAAATCTGCCTGACTACGTACCCTGGCAGAGATGTGGAAGACTAATGCATTCTACACATTCTCTTATGTTCCTTCTATAAAGGTAAGGAGGCCCATTTGCTGCCAAAGCTCCAACCACTGGGTGCTGAGACGAATGGGCCTTAAGTGGTACTAATATCACTTTCAAGCACAGAGATGAAAAATCCTCCTGAAAGTCTACATTGTATAGCCTCAAGGATGAGGCATTTGTATAAACACAAAGATTAGAATGATAGTCAGTTATTTAAAGAGAACTCAGGTTTCACCCGGGAGGCTCCATCTAGGCCCTTCCTGCCTTCATCTTATCTGATGCAGGAAGACTGTTCTCATTTCTAAAATGAAGGAAAGAGCAGCCACAAAGACACTAAACAAACCATCTACACAAATGCAGCTCTGATACAGAGCCATGCCCCACTCCATAGGGACAGTGTCACAAATAAATCAAGATATTGTAAAACGTGTCATTGGAGCCTCTTGGACTCAAGCATTGAAAGAGACATGCTGGGCAGAAGTAAAATTTATACTACGTGACCAGAAAAAAAAATAGAATTTTTACCAACAGGTAGCAGCAAATGTATAGAAAGTAGGCTGAGATTCCAAAAGTGGGTATATTTTGTGACTATCGTATCTATCCAATGTTAGACACTGCAAAAGGCCCAAAATGCAAACCTGAAAAAATCACTTCCTAAAAAGCATTGCAGAAAATGTGGAATAAAGTTAATTCATGGTCTAACAGAGGAACTGGTCTATCTCATGTGGCAGACGTATTGGTAAACTTGCATGCTCAAACTTTGTAACATTTTACATCAGTTTTATCTAGATTTCTAGATTGCTGAGTACCACTGAGATGAGAAAAGGATAGGAAACCATTATAAAGAAAAAGGGAAACAGAAAAATCAGCCAAACTGTTAAATGTCAGTCTGTGAAACACAAAGGCAGTTTCTTCCCTAACTGAAGCTTATCTAACGTAACCCACCAGGTTGTGCATTTTATTTTCATAGATTGAATGTTTATAAATAGTTGGGAAATGGAAGGGAAAGAATGGTTTGGTGTCAAAGAAGAAAGACACAAAAAGAGACTTACAGAATGGGAACCCCATTCTCCGCTGTCCGTGAGCTTCACCCACTTGTCTGTGGTGGCATCCATCTCCTGGCACTGGTCATTCTGAATCTGTGAGTCAAACAAAGGGGCTCAGTGAAACTTCTGGGATAATAGCTTTCATTCATTTCTGTCCATGCACATGCTGCAAGAACGGCCTCCAATCTCCTTTAAACGCTAACGTAAGTAATCTCCAACAAGCAGACACACCAAGACCACTGGAGGCTGCATTACAACTGCGTGTGAGGAACTGGTTCCAGCTGAACCATCTCACTGTTGTAACCAAATGCCTGGATGTTAAGGAGGGTGAGAACAATTATCACAGGAACGTCATTACAAATCCTCCACTCAACTTACCCAAATGTTCTAATAACTCACATTCACCATGAAAGTTCAAGCTTAAAAGCAAAACCTGTTTTATTTCATTTAAATTCTTGTCGTTTTGAGAATTTCATATATGAGTATTCTGTAGCTAATTCCTTTTTACCCCTCCTTCCTCCCCTTAAAGCCCCTCCCACACATCCCTACTTATTCTGGAGTTCCTGTCCTCTTCTTCTGTATGAATTATACATATATAAACACAAAGTTCACAGTGCCACTCACATGTACACATGTTTAAAGATGAACACTTGGAATTTGGTGGCCTATTAGGGTGACATGCTGAAGAAGACTGATTCTCCCTCACTCAGCAGCCACTGACTGCAGGAAGATGTTCATCTAGGGGTGGGGCTATGTGAGCTTCCTCCTTTCCTCCCTGGCATGTTGACTGCTGTGGTCATTACTCAGCTCTTATTTGGCAACCATACTGTTAAGACTCTATCGGTGCAACCTCTCTGTCGTGTCTAGATGTCAATATCTCACAGCAGGTGTCTGAAATTTGGGCTCTGGAAATCTTTTTTTGTTTTTTCTTCTGTAATGTTCCCTGAGCCTTAGGACTGGGAGTTGTCTTGTTAACTGGGGATGGGCATCCCACAGTAACTTATTCCCTGCCTTTTAAGCAGTTGTACATCTCTGTATTAACCTCCATCTGCTGCAAAAGGAAACTTCTCTCGTAAGGAGAAAGTGCTCCATTTATCTGCAGATGCTGTTGATGGCAGTAAAATCTTAAATTAGTGAATAAAGTCTGCTTTGGTTGTTAGTTTCCCAGGACGTAATCTACATGTATAGTTAAGTGGTTATGAACAAACTCTAAGTACTAACCTTTTGTAATGGAATAAATATTAATCGTTTACCATGCTAATTAAAATGACTAGAGATAATACATTTCACATTAAACATCATATCAGCTTTATTCAGAATAGCCACAAACTGGAAACAACCCATATGCCCCTCAACTGAAGAACGGTTCATTTACACAATGGAACACTACTTAGCTATTAAGAATAAGGACATCATGAATTTTGCAGGCAAATGGATGCAACTAGAAAATATCATCCTGAGTGAGGTAACCTAAACCTAAAATGACATGCATGATATGTACTCTCTTCTACGTGGATATTAGCCATAAAGTACAAGAACACGAGCTATCACTATACTCCACAGACACAAAGAAGCTAAACTAGAAGAAAGGCAAAAGTGAGATTGCTTGAATCTAACTCAGAAGGGGAAATAAAATAGTCAGAGAAGACAGATAGAAAGAGAGAACAGGGTGGGAGAGGGATGGGGAGGAAAATGTGGTGGGGCAGTTCAGGATCAAACATGGGGCTGGCAAGGGATGGGGGTAGGGCTCATCTCTAGGACATGCCAGAGATGGATAAGGCTCCCAGGAGTCTTTATGGTAACATTAGCTGAGACGTCTAGCAGTGAGATTATGGAACCTGAAATGGCTACTTCCTGAAGACAGGCAGGAGCCCCAGTGGAGGGTTAAGGACACCAACCCACCCACAAAACATTCAAAACAAAATCTATCCTGTCTAAAAGAAATGCAGGGACAAAGATGGAATAGAGACTGAAGGAATGATCATCCAATAACTGGCCCAAATTAAGACCCATCCCATGGGCAAGCACCAATCCTGACACTATTAATGATACTCTGTTATGCTCGCAGACAGGAGCCTAGCATAACTGTGCTCTAAGAGACTCTACCCAGCACCTGAAGTGAAAGATACCCACAGCCAAACATTAGCTGGAGCTTAGGGAATCTTATGGAAGGGTTGGGAGAAGATTGGTGTGGGGCAGGGGCAGGGATAGGAACTCTACAGGAAGACCAACAGAGTCAACTAACCTGGACCCTTAGTGGCTCACAGAGATTGAACCATCAACCAGAGAAAATATACTGGCTGGACCTAGTCCCCCTACACATATGTAGCATGTGTGTAACTCTTTCTTCATGCACGTGCTCCAGCAACTGGAGTGAGGGCTGTCCCTAAATCTGTTGCCTGCCTATGGATCCCATTCCCCTAACTGAGCTGCCTTGTCTGGCCTCAGTGGGAGAAGATGTGCCTAACCTGCAGAAACTTGATGTGCCAGGGTTGAGGGATAAGTGGTGGGGGTTTCCACTCTCTCAGAGGAGAAAGGGATGGGGAAGAAACTGTGTGGGGGCTACCAGGAGGAGGGCAGTGATCAGGACGTAAAGTGAATAAATAATAAGTAAACAATAATAATAAGTAACGAAAAAACGTCTTGAACCCTCTGAGTAATGGTTCAAATGTGCTTAGAGGTTAGGATACTATTTTTCCAGGTTTACACATAGATATAGAGATAGATAGCTAAAAGGTAGGCCTTCATACTGGTAGTCAATATAGTGAGCATCAGAGTGGAGTCGGACATCATCACATGTACTTATCAGCTGTCAAATCCATCTTTCTACTTTGTAAGTTATTCCTGATGCCTTCCTTATTTTCCTATCACAAAGCTTAAAGTGTTTTCACTAAAAGAACTTTCTAAAGACTTATTAACTAGAAAACAGTTCCACTGGTGATCCCAATATCAAGAGACTATCCAGTTAATATTTCCTTTAATTGAATTTGTGCCCTATTTCTCCTTTGACCATCATGTCCACTGGTGACACCAGTGTTAAGCCATTTCCAGGAAGCTACAGGCTCTGAATATATCTTTAGTGATCGACTAATACACATGCTAAAGTTTTTTTACACACACACACACAAAACAGATTATCATGTGATTGTGACATTCCCCTTTACTGTGGAGAAGTGAATCTATGACTCATTTTGAAACTAATTAAGTGTAATCATGGACCAATAACTCCTCTAGGTTAACTAGTTAAAGTATGATCATGGACCAATGACTCCTCTAGGTTAACTAGCTAAAGTGTAATCATGGACTAATAGCTCCTCTAGGTTTCAGCTTCATCATTTTTAAAAGAAACGGTTGTGCTGAGGTAAAGTCACACTTGGTCCTCTAACTCAGCACTTCAGTACTTCACATTACACACTGTTTGTATATATTTTTCTCCATCCACCTACATCTTTCTTATCTTCAAACACTTCCTTTCATCACTGATTAATGATGACTGAGGAGTGCTGACCTTCTGAGTCAATCACAACCTATAAATGGGCGATAGAAAGGACCGGCATGAGCTTGCTGCCCGTCAGACTCTAAACCAAAGAACACAGGCATCGCTGACAGGAAGTAATGGAATGCCTTGCTTTAAAAGCACCTTTATTGACTGTTCTCAAGGGACTTGTTGGGAAATATAAAGGAGCTGTCTACTCACGACAATTAGACCCTTGTCTTACTTCCTGAGCTTATTCATTTTCTGCAAGAGTTGAAATGTCCCAAGAAATACTCACAAGAGTTTTTGCAAACAAGATATACTTTAAAAATCAAATCTGTCTAAATGTTGCTTAACATTCTAAAACATCAAAGGATAGCCATACTAGAAGCTCCTCAAAAGGCCTTATCAAACAATCCACCTCACGGAAGGGAGCATTGAGGGCCGGAAAGTTAGTCTAACTGTGCAAGAACATACAGCTAATAATTACAGAGTTACAACCAGAGCCAGGATATTTTTACTTCAAAAGGAGGTGTAATGGGAAATATGTCTTAACATCAAACTTTTGATATAGAAACTACAATTACTGATTTAGAAATACTTATTGTGGGACTGTATAAGGGTATCCTGGGTCATGGTTGAACAGGTACTTAGAACCCCGAGATTCTCCGTGGAATTCTGCGTGAGAACCGGCAGGAGTTCGGTACCTCCCATCATCTAGGATCCTGAAAACAGCCACATTTCCATAGTGTCACATAGGCCAGGCTTTAGGCCTCAGGCCCTAGAGATTTACATACTAATGAAGGCCAGAGGGCAGAGCAAATTAAACATTCCTCCCCCAGATCCTCCCCTAATCCTCCCCCTTCTCCCTCCCTATATAACTCGGGACTGCCCTGAGTTTTGAGGGGGTACGCCTAGATCCATCTATTATCCGTTATGACAATAAATCTTTTTAGAACCAAGGACTTCTTCGTGTTACTGGGGCCCGCCACGGCGGCGCAAGCTTACGCCACTGTGGCGGCCTTTTTTAAATTTTCCCCACACTTATCACCTAGAGCAATAGAAATTTATTTTGAAATTGTTAGTATATTCTTTCCTTAAAACCTGGATCACAGAAACATTTTTCCCCATTGATGACAAAACAAATATTGTGCTTAGTGTAAGTCCATCTGAAAACATTTTCTCAAGAATTAAAGTCACTGTCATAATAAACAGTATTAGATCAGCTACAGCTTACATTCATTAAATAGCCTCAGTAGTTATTCTGTTAGTATATGACTATATATTAGGTTCTGTAATTCTACTTAAGCTCGTGACAGACATATCAAGTATTTCATCCAAGGAGTCCTTTCAACAGTCCAAAATTCATAGAATCAGAACATGTAGTCATTTTTATTTTTAAAATAATTATGAATAAACAAATAATTATAGTGACTAAGGAAATATTTACTGACTTGCAAGAAAATATTTAAGCAAAATTAAAATATTTTAATATAATTTTAACATAATAGAAATATGCTATTATGATTCAATGGGTAATGTACTTTCTATATAACCATGATGAGGACCTGCTTAGATCCTAGCATGTTTAAAACATGGCTGTGGTAGCACACAGCTCTAACTTAGCACTGGTAGACCAGAGAAAGGCAGATGCCCAGAGCTAGCTGGCCAGCCAGTACAGCCCAGTCCATGAGCTCAGCCATGATGAGACACTCTGTTTCAAAACAGTAAAGCAGAAGGTGACAAAGGAGGGCACCCAGAATCAACCTCTGTCCTCCTCGTATACACATGTATGTTCTTCCATATATAGTCACACATATGAACATGAGAACATTGATATCCTTCTACATACACAATGCATAGAAAAATAATAGCTTCTGTAGCAAAAAAAAAAATGAGTGTGGAAAAATTATTTGTGATGTACAGTCTAAGCCAAATAGCCACCTGAAGAACATAACCAGAAATGAAACAAGCCAACATTATTCCACAGGAAAACTGTGAAAAGCAAAGAAATAATACTAACTTGAACACAAAGTACCATTGAGGGAGGCTTTCTTTTAACATTGAAAGATGCAGTTAACATCCTCCAAAGAGTTAGGAGGCATAAGTGAAATGTACCAGGGGGATTAGAAACAATTACATGAATGTTCCTTAAAAATCGAATTCTAGAATATGAAAATCCTTACAAAGAACTCAAAGAAGATGTTGTTGTCCACGTACTGGTACTCAAAGAAGACGTAGCCTGACTTCTTAAGGTGCACAGCATAGATCAGAGACACAGTGCAGTCATCACGGTTAGACTCTATATAGTTCCCACGAGGAAGCCAAGAAGAACTGTGAAAACAGAAGCAAAAGTTTTATGTACAGGCTTAGAAACCTCTTCTAGACATGCTCCTCTGACTGAGTGATTTAATTGGGAGTAGATTCCATGAGTCAAAGTGGGTAACACGAGCTTTGCTGGAATTCGGTGGTTCAACTCCACTATTGAGAAGTTTGGATTGTTTGATAAGGCCTTTTTGAGGAGCTTCTAGCATGTTTTAGAATGTTAACCAACATTTAGACAGATTTGCTTCATTTAAATTATTTTTTATTTTAATTAAAATGATTACATTTCTCCCCTTTCCTTTCCTCTCTCCAACTCTTCCTATGTCATCCCCCCTCCAGCCCTTCCCAGGTAATAAACCTCCTTAATCCTTCTCAAATTGCCCTCAGAACAATAACACCGATAGACACGGAAGGGGTTCATGTGCAAGAACCTACAGTCAACTAACTACTACTGAGAGAAGGAGACCTAGGCTTCTCCAGAGATGAGCCCTAATTGGTTATCCACTGCTGAGTAGTCAGCCCTGAAATCATACACATACAAGAAACAATAAATAGATTCATCAAGTTGTGTGTGTGTGTGTGTGTGTGTGTGTGTGTGTGTCTATACAGTAACTATAAAAAAGGTTTACTTTTATAGCATATGACATGAAATCTTTGTAAGGCTATATGATCAATTTGGTATAAATTTTGTGTTTTGTTTACCAAAACCAAAATCACTAATATTAAGATTCATAGTCTCAAGTAGAATTACTCTTTCAAACAACATCTTAGTTTGACTTACACACATACACACACACACGAAGCCTATGTAAAAAGTGCTATTAAATGCTAAATATTTAGATTAATATATAAAGCTATACTATAGTTGGCCTCTTAAATTGTGAAGAAGTCATTTGATAGAAGCCAAAGCCTTTTCAACCACTTAACACTGGATTTCCTAAAGCATCCTCAGAGGTTTGTTGAAAGCAGTGGTTATTTCAAACAGAACACTGGTATGTGTTGGGGTTTACAACATTCTTCATACTGTCTGACAGAGGCACCAAGGAAAGGAAAGGATGCACACTGCTGTTCTAAATATAACAGTCTATAAGATGAAACTCTGTCAACACTACAACCAGAATCCACGCTGTAATCTGCAGTCTTCAAAACCTAAGGTTAGCCAAGATATCCTAGCACAACAAAACACCAAGCAGAGCAGGAAAACAAACAAACAAACAAAAAACCCATAATAAATAACACAGTTTCAAATTTTAAATTTCTAATTATTAAACATCATTAAAACAATAAAAAAGTCAAAACCACAGACCTGAAGGACATATTATAAACACACACATATGTGTATATATTGTACAATAAATACTGCATAGATACATACATCTAAGTTTCATGTCCCTAATGTACAAAGGACTTCTTGGGCCCAGTAATTAAGTCATCATTATGACTCAATTGATTAAAAATAAATAAAGAGAGCATAAATGCCAGATGGTTGGGGAGCAGACGAATACAATATCCAACTGAAATTTGTGTTCAGAAAATTATTATATTAAAGAAGCTATATTGAAAGGGGGCTGCTTATGGTGGATTGTTCTTGATAAATAAGCTAGACTATCTAGAAAAATTATGAATATTCAAGTTCATCAAAGCAATGACCTGGTGTCCCATCACATGCATCTTGGGCTTTACTCTAAGGTATTATATGCAAGCATGAAGCTATGCTTTGCCAAGTCCACATCGAAATCAACTGTCAGTTTAAGAGGTCTGGACATGCCTGGTGGCTCTGTAACAGTTACTTTTGATTGTCAAAGTGATTAGATTTAAGAAAAGCTTAAAGCATGCCTTTGGGTGTGTCTGTGCAAGCTTTATCAGAGACTATTCAAGAATTAGGCTTTTTGACCTAATAAACTCATGAACGGATTCCAATTCTGAGTAGACAGTTGAAAGTTATCACAGGAAGGGAAGGTTGGAAGAGAGACCATGAGTACTTAAGGCATGTTCTTGGAAGCTGTATCTTATCCTGACTCTTATTATTGACCTGTTGTTCTGTTTGCTGTGTGCTGAGCGTTGAGCAGCTGGTCCTTCCCACCCACAACCTCCACAGAGTGGACTAAGACCCTTAGCAAAACAAGTCTTTGTTCCTTTTGGTTGTTTCTAAGAATCTTTTCAAGAAAAGTAATCAATACAGCCTTGATGCTGTGTAGAGTCTAGAGAGCTGAGACCTCAGGAAGGGATTAATACTTTTCTCACTAACCATTTCTCTCTTCACACACGCCAGCCTGTACCTTCATTTAGACTGTGGTTTGAAGATCTATGAAGCCCTCACCAGATGGTAACACCATGCTCTTGGGCCTGCAAAACTTAACTAAATAAATCTCATTAAAAACTCCTCAGTCTCAGGTGTTCTAAAAATAAAAATTCATAGACTAAAACACACACACACACACACACACACACACACACACACACACACCCTTCATTCTCCAAAGAGGAAAAGAAACCATTGCTACTCAGCTGACAAAGAACAGGAGAAGACTGGCGAAAAGAAAGGATATTGTGTACCAGAAGAAGGAGGGGATGGGGAGAAGCCAAGAAACACCTCTATTAGCTCAGCTAAATAATGATGAAGACTTTGGGTGCCAGAGGAAGCATTCTTGTCAGAAGGCAGCCAAGGTCTACCCACTTTACTACCTCAAATTTGATTTTCCTAAACACAGTGACATTCTGGAAATGTTGCATAGTCAATGCACAGAACAGAAGGGAATGCAGTGCATCTCAAAAAAATACAATAAATTTTTTTCCAAGACAATTTAACATTTCTGCAATGCTGTCATATGCAAAGCCAGTGATCATAAGAACCTTCCATCTTGGATCCTTAACCCCTCTGCCAGAAAATAATCACGGTCTAAATGAAGGTCAAATATTCAAAAAAAGAAAGAAAGAAAATATGCTTTTTTCTTGAAAAATTGAAGATTAGTAGAAACACTACTGCCTAAGTTTAATTATAAATATAAGATAATGAACTCATTTTTCTAATAGCTCTATTGCATTTTGCACACATTTATTATATTGTGAGGCCAATTACTTTCTCATTAAAAATTTAGCTAATTTTTTTTTTGAATGAATGTCCAAAAAAATACTGAGATGCTCCCTGAGCCTTAGAACAGGGCTTGTGAATTGAATCTACCAAGATTGGTCACCCAATAATCAGTTGTTCTCTGAGGGGTAGGGGCTAAACTATCTGTGGATATAAACATAAGTATTTAAAATATAGTTAGAAATTACACTGGTTTGGGAAAGTGGCAGTAATAGTTCTCCTCTAAGGACCATGATCTCACGAAAAAAAGAACAGTTCCTACTGCTAGTTACTAGCTACTAGTTAAATAGTGCCATTTACAATATGAGGCATGAATTCCCTTCTATTGATCAGGACCTGAGTCCAATTAGACAATTATTGGCCAATATAAGTGCCACAATTACATTTATCTTACCACGCTAGTCATTGTTGTAGTTCATAGGTTTACAGCTGGGTAAGATTGCTTTCCTCTGCTGGCAGCTTCCATAGCGCCCTTAGGTACTATAAAAGCTTGACCTTGGAGAGGAAGTTTCCAGGTCAGTTCCAGCTCAATTCCTCCAAGTCTAATGTGTATGGTGTCTTCAACAATCGGATCTGAATTTCAAGTTCTAAGAAGCAACCAAGGGCAATAGCAATAGCCTATGTTTGATGGGGAAAGGCCTCTTAGACTTTCCTGACCAAAAATAAAAAAATAAAATAAAAATAAAACTTACAGGGCAGTTTCCCATGCCTGGGTTTTTATTAGCTATCAATGGCTCTTTGAAGGGAGGAAACTTTATAACCCAATTGATGTAACTTTGTGTGTGTGTGTGTGTGTGTGTGTATGTGTGTGTGTGTGTGTGTGTGTGTGTGTGTGTTTTAAATAAACATTTATTGCTGAAGAGGAAGTGAAAAGATTGCAATAGGCAGAGAACCAGGACATCTGCTGCATAATAGCATCTCAGTGTACAAAAAGTAAGCTGTACCCATGAAATCTCAACAATATGGCTGCCTATTCAATACCTGCACCATGACAACATGAGTTAACATGACAATGTGGATGAAAGAAATATCTCAAGGCCTCATTCCTAGAAATTAATGGCTACTCAAAGACGGAAAGCCATTCTTTCTTAAGGATGAGCCCCCATTAGACTATTTAATCCCAAATGGTCAGTCCTAAACACATACACATTTTTTATTGAATATTTTATTTATTTACATTTCAAATGTCATCCCCTTTTCCAGTTTCTCCTCTAGAAACCCCCTATCCCATCCTCCCTCCCCCTGCTTCTATGAGGGTGCTCCCCTACTCACCCACCCACTTCTGCCTCCCTGCCCTAGCATTCCCCTACACTGAAACATCGAGCCTTTTCCAGGAACAAGGGCTCCTCCTCCCATTGGTGTTCAACAAGGCCATCCTCTGCTACATATGTGGCTGAAGCCATGGGTCCCTCCAAAACACACACATTTTAACAATGCTAACTGGATTCAGAACCATGTATGTATGTATGTATCTTTGTGTGTATACGTATATATATATATATATATATGAATTTACATGTCTATAATAATAATTAAAGAAGAGAACATGTATAAAGGGGTTGGAGGGACTAAGGTGGAATTAGAGGGAGGATAAAGGTGTGGAAATTATGTAAATACAGAATTCCTTCCAATAAAAACTTTATAACCCTTTGTCCTGAGCTCATCTAAGATCCTCATCAGAACTAAAACTATCCTCAACTTTTTCTAGAAAAGAATGACTACAACTTTGTCAAGTCTCCAAAGACCAAAGGTTCCTTTGGGGACTTACTTGTTACAGGCATCTGGCCTGCTGTCAGAAGGGCCCACCACGGTGTCCATGAAGGTTGCAACGTTGGAAAATCCTGCTGGCAACTCATCCCATTCATCGAATTTGATGCCACTGCCCAAGGAGTAGGTGCCTTCAACACACTTACTGCACACCTGGTTCTTCATTTCTAGATACTCTCCAGAAGCACAGGAGAAAGCTGGAAAGCAGAAGAAGATAAAACTATTATCACTGGCACCTTCCATCAACTTCGTCTCCTTCATGTTGTCAGCAGAATTATTTTTATAAAACTCTGATCACATCAGATCTAAATAAATCCTTCCAGTGTTTTCATTATTGCTTTTTATACACCACATTCTGCCCCAACCTATTTCACTCTACTCACCATTTGATCAAAACAAAATGCATATTAATCCACTCTTCTTCTACTGTGTCCTTCCTTTCCAGGGATGTTGGACAAATGACCGTCTCTATCTGGACAATACTAGTTCCTATGTAAAAATGGCCATCTTCTTGACAGATTACCCTACCTCACTCATCCCAGTCACCCATGCCACACTCCATGATCTTTAATAGTCCAGTCTCCACAGCACAGTACACTAAGGTAGACAGACTACTAAAGGAGGGAAGTACTACTTCTCCACAGAAACAAGGGTCATTATTTTGGGATTCCTAGTTGTATGTAGCATGTGCTAAGCCAAATGAGATACTGATCCAGTGAAGAACAAAATGAAAGGACATACCAGAGAATACAGCAGTAACTAAGCAACTTATCCCCATTCTGAATCCTTTTAAACATCTTCTATCTTTTCAATATTCACAGTGGCAACCTGACTATTTATACCAACCCCATCCATGTCTAATACCAAGTTCCCTGCCTTTTTGGGAGTTGGATTAAGCCAGTAGTTCTGCTACTAAGTTATTATTCATCAAACAAACACAAATCAATGTTTCCAAAGTACATGGCCCTGTGCAGGGTGAAATTACAGCTCGAGCCTGGAAACAGGCTATCTAATCCCTTAATCAGAACATTAAAGAAATAAGAACAAAATAAAATGTCCAAATTAGCTGATGAAAAGAACTCTCTCAGCCCAGAAAGGCAGCAAAGCCTCACAGGCAGGCACAGTCCTCCCCTAATACAGTGGAGGACTTAATCAGAAATGAAAACAAGCTGCCTTTGAAAAAAACTAATTAAAGAATTAGAGCTCAAACCCACACACTCATCCACCTACTCACCCACTAAACTATTATAATGATTCTCTTTAGAAAAGCTTAACAATGCTGCTCTGTGAACTTTTTACATTCAAATCAATATCCTAAAACAAAGTATCCGCAAAGGTCAGGCAGAGAAGAGTGCATATCAACTACAAGATCAAAATTATCCTGGAGACAGTGAAGGAAGACCATCTTGGAACAAGATGTTATATCTTTTCTTAATCTTGTGACACTGAATGCATTAATGGTCTCTTCGGGTGTTTTATTTCTGAGATAGCTGCCACAGTAGCTGTCTCACAGGCTTAAGAAAAATGAAATACAACACAATGTAAGCATAACTACACTGTCATACAACACATGCTCACCATAGGCTGCTAGTTCCAAGATGAGAACAACCAGCAAAGAAATGGAGTTATGGAAAGCAATTTCTTTTAGTTTCAATGAGTTGGAATCTTCTAGTAAACTCAGATTCTAACAACAGTCCTCTAATATGACAACTTATGTCAGAAACAACAAAGCAACATGAAAAATTATCTTGGAAGACAGTTTACTTTGAAATAAAAAATCAACCTTTTAAATTGATTAGCAATTAATAAAGATGTTTTAATTCACCTTACAGTTTGTAATTCATCATGAGGGAAATTAGGGAAGGAACCCAAGGCAGAACCATGGTGGCAAGAATTGGAGCAGAGACCATGGAAGGGCACTGTTCACAGGCTTGCTCTTCATGGCGTTCTTAGTTTGCTTCGTTATAGAACCCAGGACCACAGCCCAGGGATGGCACCACCCACAATGGGCTGTATTCTTCTACATCAATCAATCAATAATAAAAAATGTCCTATAGGCATAACGACAATCCAATCTGATGGAAGCAATTCATATTAGAGTTTTCCTCTTTCCAAATGACCCTAGCTTGTTCCAAGCTAACAAAAAGCTAACTGGTACACCAGGCTTATAAATTATTGTGAAAGTATTAACTGTATGAATTTGAGGGTTATGAATAAATTATGCAAAAACAGAACCCATAAATCATCAGTGTTGACTGTATTTTCAATAAATTCATGAAGGAAGAAGCTATTATGTACATAAGCCACGTAAGAAAACTAAGCCACAGTATATTTAAATACTTGAATTACCCAGCTACCCAGTCAACAGACAGCATAAATATGATTCAGTCTTGCTTGCTTGATCCTAAAAGTACTACCTTACTTTAAAGAAACTGCAAGTGACACAATGACAAGGACCAAAGAGAAACAATTCTAACTAATTCAATACCATATTTCACATCACCTTTCATTCCCTGTCAGCTGTTAAGCAATGTTCACCTGCCCCATAAAATAATAATTAATTCCCATTCTCATATGTTATGGAGCACTTCATATATTAAACCTAAAATATGTATTTGGGAAATATTTTAGCAAGCTCCTAACTTCTATAAGTCTAATAACTGTGCTTATGAATGGAAGGTAAAAGTACTATCTGCCTCAAAAAATTACAGGAATAGGTAAATGGAGCATTGTTCAATATGCCTGGCATATGTTACAAATAATTGTATTGGACACTACTCTTATCAGAAACCTGTAAATAATAACACTGCCACTAGGTTGATGATACCTTGTCTCTACAGAACAACTATGCAGTCTAAGTTCAATGGGTATGTGGCCTTGACAGGCACATGTCAAAGGAGGAACTACACATCCTGATTAAAATGTAGTTAATTTCATGAGATTATACTGAGAGTTAGCAATGCCTACCTCGGCTAGCCCTCGTCGCATTTGCTTTTCTGATACTCTCAAAGCATCATTCATTTTCTCTTTCAACACTGGTCTTGGCTTTCAGGCTTTGATTGGACTCTATGGCACATAATCTCAGTGACTGCATTCTTTGTTTTGCATTTTTTGTCTTATTTGTGTGTTATTATAGCAGAATAATTTAATTAGGCCGGGTGGTAGAAATTACTTTGTATATTTGCTGTTGTACTGTTTGGTTATATTTCATTTTAATTAATTGGTCATTTCCAAAGTTAAAAATGAGCTTTTGTAACAACCTTGAAATCCTAAAATAACTGAATCAAATTGACAATTAGCAAATTCTGGAGTATTGGAAGAAGGAATATGTTAGTTTTCATGGCTTGGACAAAATATCTAAGCAAAACAAATTAAAGAAGCTTGGATTGATTTTGGCTCACTTCCTCAGGTTCTGGTCCATCATGGTAGGGAGAGCATGACAGAACAGATTTCATCACATCTTGCTGGCCACTAACTTATTGAAGGATACTACCCACACTAGGAATATGTCTTCTCTCTTCTCTCAATTCTCTTTGAAAACATTATCAGTCCCACCCAGACTGCACTTGGATAATCTGCTATAAACTTCTCAATTCAATCACACTTAGAAGAACAGAAAGCAGGGGGTGGTGGTAGATGGAGAAGAGGAGAGACAAAAACACACAGAGACAGTGACAGGCACAAAGACTCAGAGACACAGACAGACAGACAGACAGACAGACACAAAGACAGATACAAAGACAGACAGACACAAAGACAGAGAGGTAGAGACATTCTTGTCTCAGGTTGCCACTATTTATCAGTGACCTTGATCTGGGATTTCAGAGTACTTTACCACAGAAGCAACAGGAAGAGAAATATTTAACTCAATCCCTTACTTACCCAGAAGTCTATGCACTCACTTACCATTCTTTTCCTTGGCTTCTGCTTCTGCTTTCCAGACATCTATTTCTACAACAGTGACTCTGAGAGGGCCCAAATACATGTGCAAAGACCCAGATATGGAAAACATTATATTAGTCTGTCACCAAAGAACAAAGCCATGGGTAGCTTTCTTGACCCTACAAGTTTCTATTTTCTTACATTCCATTAGGAACACCCCATACTCTTCCTCTCCATGGGTCTGATTATGGGGAATGAGTTTTATTTTAGAAAACTAAAGGCTCTGTGGAAAGTAGAGTGTGATATTAAAAAGACAAGACATTACATTGATTATGCAAGTAAAATGTGCCAAAAAAAGAGTTATGAAATTGAATTGTTTATAAGCTGACTATCTTCTGTGATTTATGTCCTTCAATAAAAGTCTATTTTTAATTTTTTTATCACAGAGACTCTGGCTTAGATTTTTTTTTCCAATCTAGAGATCTTGTATTTTAAAAAACTATGACCATAAATTACATATATTCATAAATCATTTATTTTCGCTATTTTCATTCCAATTATTTCATTACTAAAATATGATTTCTGGACCATAAACATCAGTAGGAGTAGCCATAAAAGAAATTTCAATTTGCTTGTCCAGTGAGATGTTGACAATACAATGAGCCTATGTAATGTTATTATAGGTATCACAATAATAAGCTTAATTTAAGCAGCAAGTACTTTTTAGTACTTAGCCTTTGACAGACACAAATTAGGCACTGGGGATATGGTAGCAAATAAGAAGACAGGATTAACTCTGTCTCTATGCTTACAAAGCTGCTACAATAGCCTATTCTTCCTCAAAATGAGTTTTAGCCACATCTCATTTCTCTGAACTTAAACTCATAAAACCCATCTCATCTGTGAAACTAAGTTAATACCTAAACATATATAATTTTATATTTGTGGGGAACTGTTAAATCTAGAATCAGGAAGCATTGGCATAATGACTGTCCTTCAATTGATTCATCTTGTTTAGTAAAATACATACTGTCAGAGCTGTAGTTACCATTTTTCCTGTACAAGGAGACCTTTGTGACTGTTAATAGTTAATAGATAAAGGGCTGAAGCAAGGACAGAGTGACTAGTTACAGGACCTAAAAGAATACTTCACTTCCATCTTTAACCAACTGATTATAGTCATCAAATAATCAATACTTAGTTGTCTACTAGGCTTGAATCATAATTCTCCTAGGGAAATGAGAAGAGAAAGAGGTGTCTAGGAGAAAATGAACTGCATTCTCAGCCCATAGTGCCTTGTGACTTGCTGACCTCA